TGGCAAGAGGGGCAGTGTTCTGCCTCAAACCTCCACATCGGAAGCACTTCTCGTTGCGAGGGAAATTTCTTTCCCCACACCTGAGCAAAGGTGGATCTGAGAAAGTCGTGCTGACTCCAATAGAGCCATCAGCCATTCGGATTCTGGGACAGTGGCGGCTCCCCGTTTGCTTTCGACCGTAGGCAGATCCAGTCTTTGCTTTGATCTTCGCCCTCCTGGTAAGTTGTGCACGTGCTTGTCGCGTGCATTGGCCAGCAAACCGTTGCACCCCTGCGTCCTTGTACTTCGCCTTGCGCCCATCTTTGTACACCTGCACTTGGCAAATTACACCACCAGGCAAAAGACATGCTTCGTACCGAGACGATGTTCCCTACCCTTCATGCACGAATTGCGAGAAATCGGGCTTATGTGAAGCCCAGGTTGCGATTTCTGCCCGAAACCGCATCTCAGTGGGCTTTCTGAAACCCTGTATAGTGTCACCGAAGCTGAAGCCCAAATTTGCCACCCAAGCTTTCACGAAGATCACAATGCCAAGAGCTGTGACAACCAAAGGAAGTGACATCTCGATGCCACGCCTCCTCGTCATCTTTCCGTTCGATGAAAGAGAAGGCCCCGCAGGTCAGGCCCAGGGCCTCAGCTGAGACGAGCACCCATCGGTACTTGCAGAGTGCAAAATGTTGGGAGCTGTGCTCGCTGGATCCTGGAATCTGGATTTCGAGGATCAAGTTCCTGCACGGCGCGGCAAGCCGTCTCAGCTGGAGTCCAGATGTCTCACTGCAAGGCGAGCCTTGCCAGACGAAGAGAAGTCCATGTCCATCACCTCTGCTTGGAAACAGCCATCTAGAAATCTAGACCCAAGACTGCTCTCCAGCATGCACGCAGCATTGGCCGGGCAACGAATGGAAGGCTGCTTGAGCTTGAGGAATCACTGCTTGAATCGCTCCTTAGCCAGCTTGGCAACACTTTCCCGCCATTCACAAGCTCACGTTCCAGAAGAAACCTCTCCCAAACGTAATGTGGCAACTGCAAACCCAAGATGCTTGATTGCTTTGCTGCTTTTGCCGTCCTTCCTCTTTTGAACGAGCTTCTGCATTTTCTTCCTGCATATCTGCGGACAGGGTACATTAAGCCACTCTGCAGACATCCTGGCGGAGATGATTGCCACTAGGTTAAGCCCACGGTACAGCTTCTTTGCAGCTTTCTTGGCTTTTTTGGCCTGGCGGCAGCAAGAAAAGACTTAGAATGCAGGGATGTCTTGGTCCTCGGGAAGTGATGGATGCGAAGCTACTGAGCCCTCAGTGATGCCAAGACGAACTATAGCTGTCCGTAAGCCTGTAACAACTACCAGTAGCTGCAGTGTGCATGTCTGGTCCCTTTCATTCATGTCTAATCTGAATACCGACTGTCTCTCATGGCACGTCGCAAAAAAAGCCTCCTTCTTTGCTTTCTTTTTGATTTTCCTGCTATGCACGAGCAGCCCGTTGTATTGTAGGTCATGGTTAACCACAGCTATGCCGTCTAATTGAGTCAAGCTTCTTCAACTTCTTGGCTTCTTTCTTGTCCCCTCCATCCTCGACATGGCAATGGGTCTCCAAGGCCGAACAGAAGCTTTAGGGCCATCGACAGCAGCAGAAGCAGTCTGTGGGCATGGCCTCAGGGCTTCCGTCGCACAGCTGAGGCGATCTTCCTTCACTTCGCATCACAACTCAGATTTGCTCCGACAAGAGCTGACAGACTGTCCGGAAACGAGTGCGCATGCGGGGCCTCTCTTGGAACTCATGCTGGACAGAGCACTTCGAGCTCCTGCAACCAAGCTACGTGGCAAAGATACTGCAGCAGTTGAGGAGTCAGCGTTTGTTTGACTATATGTCTTTTGTGGCGAAATACGTAATCTTGCTATCCTCACATCGCCTGCGGCTGCGCACTGTCTTGGCCATAAACGGTCCGCGGAAACTGTTGGCACATAACTGGCATTTGGTCGCTCATGATGTGTGCTCGAACCGATGGATCTGCTACATAGTTGCTTAAGATTTATGGCGCTCTGCAGCACTGTAGGATCCAGCTGACTCTAGCTGCTGGTTGCAGACATTTACTCCTACTGATGAGTCCCAGGCTTTGTTCTTGTGGCATCACGAGATTGCATGAAACATGTTCCCTCGTCGGGACCAGAGTCGAAGAGCATACCTGAGATGAGGCATGGCCCCTCTGGCTAAAGGTCTCCAGAGCTGTGAACATGTATATTGGCGGCACCGGAAGCTGACGCTGCCCGCTGCCTTCCGTTGAGCGGGAAGCTCTGTTTTTTGCCCATGGCTGTAGATGTCGGCGTGTCACCATGGAAACAACAAATAGCACCGGGCGGAAGGTACCACTTCTCAGCCCTCCACACGAAACACGAGGAGCTCAACCCAAAACATGTTTCTGCTACTGATGAACACTTGCGTATAACCCATCTTGTCACAACATACAGACTCACCCACTGCAAGGTGCTCGTCGTTATTTCAATACTCTTGCACATGCGGCGCTTGCCCAAGGGCTAGCGGTGCACGTGCAAGTTTCGCCAATGAAGCCCTCGAACTTTCAAGTTCGGCTGTGACCATACTCGACCATTGCCTGCTATACTGGTTCGGGTGATAGTAGTCATAGTTGCTTTCGAGGCATATGTTCATATCTCGAGGCCCTCTGACGAGGTAGATATGTCTGCGGCTTAGCCACGACCTGAGCCGCTCGGCTGGGTTGCTGTTGCCCAGGGAATCTGAACTGGGGTTCTGTCATGCTCGGACCCGCGTTGCCATTCCTGGCACGCCGCAGGCCAAGAAGAAGCTTTCAGATTCATGAAGACTGTTCATGTCGTCATGGTCGCTTGGACGTCCCCCGGTAGGAGTGAGTGGTCGCTCCACAGCAGGAAACAGCATTCTCATCCGGTACAAAGCTATAGGCTTCCCTAAGCAGGTTGACTTATGGCAATCTGTGAGCGATTCTGTCAGCAGCTAGGCTTTTACGTAGATCTACAGCTTGGCAGGCTTGCCTTATCCTGGATTGCTGAGCACACGACCTGCAACCTCTGCCGATGATCTGACGCAAAAACTGCAACAGGTTCTGGCAGGCTAAGGCAAGATAAAGCCATCCTCTCCGAGAAACGAGCTGTACAAGAGGCTATTCAGATGCGCATGGGTTCAAGCTGCAGCAAGACTGAATGTGTCCTAGCCGCTCCCTCAGACTTTCAGGGCTGATCATCTGCTGCCTGACTTGACCCCACTGAGTTGTAGCCTCGACCCGTCAGCTCCAACTTCACCGTAGTAGCAGAAAGCGACGTTGAAAGGCGGAAGGAATCTCTCCATATACAGCGCAACATTCCAAACAATGACATGGAAAGATACGGTGAAGTCTTCCCTCAGGAAGCACCGAAGCACCCAGCCTGACAATCCAGTTTCAGATAGTCAAAGACAGCATGCATGGAACGGGGTGTCGGCGCAGCCACCGGAGGTCGTGGCACGAACACACTCGTGCCTATGAACGCTGGGTAAAATGGCCATCGGAGAGGCATGGCCTGGATAACACGTGTTGCAGCAATATCCTCATGCGCACCTGAAGGTGAGAACAAGCCAAGCGGCACAGATCCAGAACGAGGCACGTGGATATTCAGAACCTCAATGATGATTACGTGAGCTATCTGGCTCGGGGCCACGTCAACCTCAAACTTGACACACACTGCGCTACGTGCAGGTGGCGAGCAACCTTGCACGTCTCTGGGGCTTCAAAGGACTTTCAAGTCTTTCGCTCCAAGGCCACGTGGGTCCTTTCGTCCGTGCGGGCGACTGCAGCCTAGAAGTGTGTTGTGGCATCAAACAGCATGTCCTCATACACCGTGAAGCTCACCTTTGCACCAGCTACCTGAAGCAGGACATGCTTGAAGGGAGCTCGCCCTTGTGCTAGAATCCTTGGAGCCCTGCCAGTCCATCCTCCGGAGCGTCGGACTTCCCCACCTTGGGCTCAAGCAGAGATGCAGCCACACAGGCAGATTTGGCTGGTTTGACACACAGCCGGTACCCGTCTGCCGTATGCTGCAATCGAAGGGCAAATATTTTGCCCTCGCGACGAGATGCAGCCTTGTGGTCGAGTTCGACGTCTGCCTTAATCCAGCCGTGCGACTCCTGCCAGGCTTGGATTTCAAAGTCCCTGGCTTTTTTGCTGCAGGCTTGCATGCAAGGACGCCTGGTAGTTTGCCGCTCTTCCGCCCGTTATGACTTTGCTCGTGACAGCGCCCCTAGCTTCTGAGCATGCGAATAAGAGACCTGATTGAAAAGGCAGATTAGTCCGAACTTGTCGTAAGCAAGCATGTTGGTGAAAGTCCCTGGCTTGAAGCACCAACGGCCCCACATGCAGATCCTCCTGGAAAACTAACGCGATTCTGCCATCACACTGTCCTTCCATTCAATGACTTCACCAGTGATGGACTCTGTGAGAACGTCTTTGCGCGGAAGTTCACCTGCAGCACTGAAGTCTCTGTCGCTGCTGCGTCTCGAAGACGTTAATCAGAGCGTGGGCTGGCCCTCTCAAATTGCAAAGGCTTGGAAAGGGCAAACCTGCCTGGCTGCCTGGCGCATAGCCCTGGCCCTAATTCGCCCACAGACCCTCCGCATCCCTCCGCTCACACACCTGGACCAGCCAATTGGACACGAGTCGCAAGCTATGTGGCGGCACGATACGGCGTGCACACAACAGCACTGTGCATAGTGCCCGTTCCCCGCGTAACGTCCCACGGTTCGTGCCATTTTCAAAAAGACCATTGGGAAAAAACAATAACGTCCATGCCAGCACTTTGATGGAATCCTCCCCCCCTCACTCCATGACTCAGATTGACACAGGATTGGACAAAGACGATGCTGATTGCAAGTGAGGTGCTCGAGGGCATGCCCCACCTTAGCTGCATCCGTTTATGCCAAGCGGTACTGGAACAGACACAACATGTGCGGCTTGGTACATTTGTCTCCAGTTGCCGGCAAGGCTCATCCATCCCCACTGCCAGGGATCCCACATAAAGCCCTTGCCCTTGCCCTGGCAACGACTGACCAGCAGTCCACCAGTCAACGGATTTGAAGAATCTGGCAAAGGAGGCGGGCCTTGCCGCCTTTGCCAAAGCCTTTCGGCTTGTCAGCTTCTTCCATGAGTTCCTTGTCCTGCTTGATCGATTCCAGCGCAATCTCCGCAGCACTTTGCTCTGCCTGAATCAAGTCGTTTCCAAGCCCGGCTCATAGGGCACTCCGCATCAGCCACACCAAAAGCAAAGGTCTGTCAGCCCATCAGCTGTTCGCAATCGAGGGGCCTTCTGCTTCGTAGTGCAGACCTCAGAGAAGGGCGAATCATTCAATTGGTGTGCTAGCAGTGATGGCGTCCTATCGTAGCTGAGACGCATGTCCGGCCCACATTCGCTCGCTCCACTCCCCCGGCAGCGCAGAAAGCTTGACCGTGGCCTGCTTTCTGCACAGTTTAAGGCAGCTTTCGGATGATCTCATCCCAGAAGCTATATGATTAAGTCTTAGGTGTGACTTTGGTAAAGTGCACCAGCATCCAGCTCGAGTCCTGATGCCCACCGCCATTGTAGGTCTTCGTCTCGTAAACCGTCTCGCCCTGCATATCTTCTACTGACAGGCTGACGGGCTCTGACAAGCCCTTTCGGAGCCGCGAGCTGAACGGTGCACGCGTGCCGTCCTTCTGGAGATAGCGCTTGGCGATTTTCATGACCAAGGCCTCAGCCAGAAGAGTGCTGGAGATGATCTATCTCGCACCGCCTGAACTTAAAATCCACATCTGTGTACATGCGAGGCAGCCACATTCAACAGCGTTTTTGGAGTGATTGCTGGATTGCCCTCAGCCTCTTGCTTGGCCTCGCGGTGCAAAGGCAGCAAGTCTTGGCGTGGGGCAGACCTGTGCGGGGCCTTGCGCTCAGCAATCTCTTCCGGAGTTCGGGGCTTCCTCTTCTTGTCCTCTCACGCAAGAGCAAACATGCATGCCTGCAACAAACCTTGGGAACACTACCCTGCCCCTTCTTTGTTCAGCCAAGCCAGCAGACCAGTCCCTCTGCACGGGCGGCTTCAACACAGCCATCTGTGACGAGAAAGCCATGACAGCCTGCTCCGCAGCAGACCTCACAGGCGCGATTGCGCGGCAATGAGTTCTCGCACGTGAACCACACAGATGAAGCCAAGCAAGCTCATGGAGACAATTCGGTCCCCTGCTTTTCTGCATCCTTTTGATTGATGCACAAATGTCCAGCATACTCCTGGCCCTGGCATAGGCCACACATCAGAGCATCAGAGCACCCTGCTTCCACTCGTCTCCCTGCCTGAATGCAATCGAGCTTAACGATCGCCTGGTACCTCGGAATCTTAAGCTTCTTTCATGGCACATGCCTGCGCATTGAATGTTGGATTTTACCAGCCGTAGTTTCTTCGCAACTTGCAAATCGTGCAGGACAAGTCTTCAGTTCAATCAACGCACGGAAGTTCAGCTACCAGGCAGATGCGGCCAATACAAAGATGCAGCCGGAGTGCTGATTTCCAAACCTGAAGTCGAGCACGATGCCACGGAAAGGCTAGGCGTGTGTGGATTCACATGACATTTGTCGTATGTTGCGCCCAGTTGCTTGTTGGTGGTGTAGGATATATCACCTCCGACATCAAGCACGGAAAACTTGACCTATTGCCATGCAACCGGTGAAGCGAAATAAACATGGATGCGACCAGGACACTCTTCGTTACAGGTCGCTGGCAGTACCTCTGACAGAAGTGATTCCTGAGATGCAGCTGGGTGAAGTCGGGAGAGCTGCAAAGTCTTCAAGGTCTCAAGGCCCCTTGTAACTTGTATCCTTGCAGAAATAGAATGGATTCTTGGACTCAGCCGAGCTGCAGCTGAGTCTTCGGGTCCTTGGACATCGCCTGTCCAGGGGCTGGCGCAGTCGCCATCCTTAGAGGCGATGCAACGTCGACTGAAGCCTAGGAAACTTATGCACCTTGCGGGGCTCCGGCTTTTGGCGCCCCTTTGCACGGCAGAGGCCAGTCAGAGCTTCAGAAAGACAGAGCCAAAGCAAGGCTGCAAACAACAAATACATGATACGTGACATGCGCGACACATGTCTGCCATGGAAAGACGCACACCTTGCCTCAGGGTATGCTGCTTCTTTCTCTTGAAACTCTGCTATGCACCAGGAGGCGAAAGCTGCTAAAGTCGCTGAAGGCATTGAGGACACCACTTTACAGCCACACCGAAAGCCCGACAACCATACGGCTGCGTGCAGTGCAGCGCATCCTCAGCTCATGGCGAAGCCGGCCTGGCAGAAGAAGCGGCACATAGTGGCACCTGTGCCTGGGCCTCTCAACTTTGGCCCTAAGCGCTGGCTTGCCACAAACCCAAAGTAGCACAATCTAATCCCAGAAGCCCATCCTTAAAAGAAGCGACATCTGGAATGCTGTACGGTTGTGCTTCTAGCTGCATCATGGCTTTATGGTTTGCGCCTAAGCCTAAGCTCTCACAACTCGCGCCCTGCCGAAGAGGAGGAGGGTTTACGCTCTCACAACTCGGACACAGCCAGGCGAGGTTCTTAGGTGCGGAGTCGGTGTGAAAAGAATTCGGGTGCGATTCTCACTTGTACCAGTTCACCACGATGGGCACAAAAGGCTCGGCATAAGCTAAAACGACACAAACAAAGGTCAACTGGTACGAGAATCTACGACAGTTGCCCAGTGCTCCCTAATCACCACAAGGATAAGGTTGAACGCGAACCACACACGCATAAGTTCAAAGCTACAGCACCAGAAACCGTCGGGTCAACCATCAAGAGTGTACTCTGGTCATCAGAATTGGACTTGGGGTTCAGAGCCGCCAGCAAGGGATGTGTTGATCCACCCCTTTCCGGCAAAAAGCAAACCTACTCCGCTGGTTTTCAAGGGAGTCTCGACGAATGCGAATCTCCGTGTGCAGGCAAAGGCTTAGGCAATTTTGGTGCGAAGCAGCTATGACCGTAGGACCCACATGTGGGTCCGACTGCAAGATGCCGGTTGGGCTCCTTGACCGGCATGCGAACTGCGAACAGACAGTGTTGGAAACAGGTTTAACTTTCTGCTGGCTTGATCGACATGCGCATGTCCACGTAGCTTCGCACAACCTCTTCCAGGACAGCAGTGGGTGTCGTCGGCATCGCCCCATAGACTGCAGCTGCGCCAGAGGGCTTGTAAGATGGCGTGGCATCCAGAAAGTCAACAGCTGCACGCAGATCAGTCGAAAATTCGTTTATAATTTCGTCGTGCCTCTCTCCTATACAAATGGTAAGGCAAGGTGGAAACTGTCCGGTCGCCAAGTTCCAACCCTTCTCTTCCAGGAGAGAGGCGACGGAGTAGATGTTGTACGTGCTTGACCCAACGGGTACGATGCAGGCATGACACTTGCAAAGCACGCGCCTGAGGCTCGCACATGAAGCTATCGCAAAATTCAATCCCGGCGTTTCGAGGCTGAATAGATCGCAGAGGGACAGTAGGAAAGACTTAGCTATGGCTGCTCTCTCTCCCTTGACGAACTGCATCCGAGGAGCAGGCCCGGAGTAGCATCAATCACATCCTGATACAGTCTGTGTGTTCGGTGAATACGAGCCGCAAATTTGGCATAGCCAGCATCCCCAAAGAACAGCATGGTTGCCCATGCTTGTGCGATGACGGCCCCTCCACGAGCCCCTTGCATGGTGGGTGTGACGTACAAACCTTCACAACCATCCGTCACTGGGACGTAGGTCAGGCGACGAAGAGCTGGATCTCGGAAAGCGACGACACTAACGCCTTTCGAGGTATTGCCATATTTATGAAGATCCACGCTGATAGAGCTGACTCCAGGAACCCTGAAGTCCCAAGCTTGATGTTCGGTCAAGCCTTGTTTGTCCATGTACGACAGAAGAACCCCGCCCAAGCAATTATCCACGTGCAAACCGACACCCCATCTTTCGGCAAGCACGCCGAGGTCTTCAATGCAATCCACCACGCCATGGGGAAATGTAGGTGCAGAGGCGTAGATGCACACGACATCACGAGTAAGGTGTCTTCGGACTCGCCTGGCCCTCAGTGCAAAGCCTGTAGACTCATCCACCGGGATCTTCGTCAACGTGATGCCGAAATAATGACAGGCTTTGACAATGCAGGGGTGACAAGTGTTGGCTGCTAAGATGCGAGGTGTGGCAATCCCCCGACTCCGCCCAAGCTCACCTGAGCTATGTGTTGCATGCAGCGTCATGCAAGATCACAAGCACTCCCATCGATTCCTCTCAATGGAAAAAGTTTTCATGCGACTCCTTCCGACTCAAGACCGCCCTGGCTTCAAAACACACTCAGAGCTCAAGACTCAGGGTCGCGCGGTAGCACAATGCCGCGAGCATCACGGATTCCGTTCCCCCGGATGTCAACAGCCCGCAGGTAGATCTCGTGCCGTTCAGCATACGAACCGCCCAGCTAATCAGCTCTGCCTCGTATTTGCGTACGGAGGGGAACACCCCCTCATAGAGAGTGTTGGAGCAGTTGTAGATGCCCCAGACCTTGTTCTGGAGATCCACCAGTTCTCCAACCGGCGAGTGGTAAATACCCGCCCACTTCTTGCCAACGCCCACCTTGGAAGAGCAGGCTTAAAGCAGCCCAAGACGGGTAAGCAAGACAAAGCAGCTCCCCAACCCCCCCCCTTTTCCACCCCCTTTCCCAGAAAAAATCCACCCCCCCTCCGGCCCCTTCCTGTCTGTCCGTGCAGTCGGGCATCATATTCTGCAGCTTCAGAAGCGCTGGCCACCTGGATTCGCCTAAGGATCTCCTCGTGGGGCAGCCCCTGCTTTGGGAGCTCCAGCACGGCCGTGGGATCCCCCTTGCCGTGGATGGAGACCTCGATGGCCTTCAACTCTTTAGCGACCTCTCTGCGCACAGTGCCTCTTATGTAGGGCAGCGAGCATATAGTTCTGAGCACTTCCCTGCCAGCCAGTGCCACCATACCACGAAGGCCCCTCTGCCACAGCTCGATGCCCCAACGACGGCATGCAAGAACTGACAAAGTGACGCATAGCACGTTCCAAGCAGCATTCAAGCGAATGCTACCGAAGGGCTGCCGAAGCCTCTCTTGAATGGGGCTCAACGTACTGTGAATACGAAGCGGAAGGAGCAGAGTCAGCACCACACAGAATAGAACTTGTGGATCCGTGGCCATTGCACACCGGATCCTGCTATCCGTGCAGCAGTGCAGGTCCAAAAAGAAAGGCACCGAACTGGACTTGGTCGGCGGACAGATGATACTGATGATGATGGTTGCACGTCAAGCTTACAACAGCAGCATTTTGCCTTTTAAAGTAAAGCGTGTCTTGATGGGACTGCTGAGCCAGGATGCACCGAATCGGTGCGGAGGGCTTGTCCAAACGTGAACCGAATCAAGCGGCCAGGCCTCAAAATTCATCACTGCCGTGTACAGGATCTTCTCCTAAGTTCAGGCTCATCGTGCCAGAAGAAGTGGCATCATGGTACATGACTACATGAGATACATACGGGGCAACCTCGCCTTCGCACATGGCTGGCAGACACGTGTAGGCAGCCTTTAGGCAAAGCATACTTGGGACCTTTTCTTCAGCTTGTCAATCAGCTTTCGCCACAAGCCCGCTCCACGTGCTCCACTCGGGGCATGAAACTTCACCGCTCAAATGGCGACGCGGTGGATTTGCTCAAACCTCAAAGCCTCAGCACAGAACAAGTTGGAAGTTGTTCACTATATTAGACATAATTTCATTGTCGTAAAGAAACCGCAGGCGCAGTACACCACAAACTTAATGAAGAGCCTTCCCCAGCCGCCGAGCCGACAGTCGAACTGCAGGCAAGAGGTGAGGTTCGATTAGTGCAGCTCAGTAGCATCTTGATTGAACAACCGGATCGTCTGATGGTACTTTGCCATTGCAAAGCTTGACAGCTCTCCTCAGTGTGCTACAGTACTGTTGGCCATTGTCTTTGAAGGAGCTGCAGGGCTGACCAATGATTGCGACTCTCACAACTGCGCCCAGCTCTTGACGATTGGTGCTGCTGCTACAGGAAGTATGACATGTGGTCGAACCAGCTGTGCTAGCAGACTAACCGTCCGTGAACATTGAGTGGCCTGCCGTCTTTGCCAGCCGATAGCCAAGCTTCCCCAAGCAGCCATCTGGATGCAGGATCTGCAGCGGAAGGTCTGTGGGGCAGCCGAGATAGAAGTGCTGGTCCTGCTGTGCCGCAATGGAAGACGACAAACCGAATTTGCGGCCGACAAGGCTGGTACTGGTCCTTCCAAACGAACGAGCCTCGACCACAGATACCTGCTCAACTCACTATGTGCAGTAGGTCTTGGATGAAGCAAGCATCGGATTTATCCGACAATTGGTTCGAGATGCTGTACTCGATGACATCGCCATTCTCCCGAAATTCGTGGAAGACCAGCTGCGAGACCTTCACGGCCACCTGTCCAAGGATGGCTCATTCTTGTGCTCTCTGTGACTGCGTCATGTCGTTCGGCCTCTGCGCCACCGGTGGTGTTGACATACTTGGTGCCGAACCTGTGCTCTGCACAGGGGCGCACGCACCGCCACACTGAGCACAAGAGAACACTGCGCAATTGCAGCTGCAATCTGCAAGTAATGTCTCACACATTGCCGAAGCATAGGGTCGGAGCATTCCCGCCAACCAAAACAAGTCCTTCAAGAAGAGATTGTTTGGCTGTTGCATCTGCACTGGTCTACAGAAAGCTCCTTGCCTGATATCCCGTCTTGGGTAGCCGAGTCTTCCCGTCTCTGTCCACACTTGCAGCGACAAGCGCTCCACCTGGTATGCACTATGCAGCACACATGAAGCTCAGGCCTTTGTAAGATGCTTCATGGCTCAATGCACGTCGGCTCCTCGGGATATTCGGAGTAGGTCGAGCTTCCATTTAAAGACACACTAAACGCTGTAGCTTCAGGTGAGTGAAGTTGATAGAAAGTCTTCCATCGCATTCATGGATGGGATTTAAGCGATGCTGACCCTGAACTTCCCTGCAGATAGCAGCCAGGACGCAGTCAGATCCTTCGTTCGTGACCTCTCCGGCATGGAAGTCCAAGAGGCGGTAGTCCTGACGCGAGACGGATCGGAAGCAGGAAACGCATCACCTCAGGCTTCAGGCCGAAGACTAAGTTTGCGGTTCGAGCCAACCTGACACTCCCGTGAACTCCCTTGGTCCGTGAAGCCACTTTCTTCATTGGAGCAGCTGGGTCTCGGCCTGCACATGTGCTGAATCCGCTCGCTTGCTGCAGATCGCGAATGACCATCCCAATTTGACCATCTCATCATCGGATTGCGTCCAGGACACCAGCTGAATGACAGGCGGGCGATGACCAAACTCAAGGTCCTGCACATGTCCATTGGAAGGTCTACCGGAGCCATGGTCTGGTCTCGTCAGGGATGCCACAGTCGGGTCACATGTGTTCAATCCAGCTGGCTCCTTGGATCCTCGATCTGAACTTGTGCCCTGGACTCAATGAAGGACACGACTCTTTCCACAGGAAGGCTTACCTGAGCATGGCGGCGCTGGCCAATCAAGGAAGGGCGCCAAACTCTACGGAAAACTGCTCAGGCACCTTGAAATGAAATCCGCGGGCATCTTCCCCTTGCCTCGGTGGCCAAGTCAACCCATCAGCTGCCACTTGCTTACCTCCACGGTCTTGCTGCAAGGCACCTCTCGCGATACGCTTCGCGTGACTCTGGCGTGGCCTCGGCTCTGATTGCCAACGAAATTGTCGAATGGGAACTCTGTTGGGTCGAGAAGCTGCTTCGATCACGAACTCGTTCGGCTCATCTTTTGTCGGCAAGTTCTGCCGGCTGGGCCTGCTAAGATTGCGGAGATGCCGTACAATGGCTTTCCCGGTCCTCAATGTGACGGCAGCGTGGAATGCTCTTTTCTGAGCTACACAACCTCCAAGGCAGAAAACTGAGGCCTCAACCTCTCAACCTGAAGCGCCACATATGCGGCAGACACTCTTATCTGCACCACCGAAGATGCAGAAGGGGCTCCCTGCAGCGAGCCCGTCCCTTGCACTGGATTGCCGGCAAGTTGCCCCAATACTCTTTGCGAGGCCAGCCGTTTCCTTAGGCATCGCAGTATGCGAGAAGGCCTGCTACGACCAGCTTGACAGTGTCAGCGACGAGCAGCATTCACCGCGTTGAGGATTTCGTCATGAAGCCCCGGCTTGATGCCATCAAGGGTAGCATTGATAGACAGGATGTCCCTCGAAGCGTTGCATGATGCAGATCCGCAAGCATAAGAGCAGAGCCACCGCAAGCTCCAGATTCGATCCGAGCTGCTCTTTCTTCAAGCCCACGTCTGCAGCTGCTGCGAGGACATCCTCTTCTGATACCGGCCCAGTAGTAGAGGTTCCGATGTGCATTTTCCAGATGAGTTTCCTCGGTGGCGGATCGTCACAGAATTAACAATTGAAGCTGTAAAGACCGGGACAAGTCTAGCTTTGATTGGAAATCCATACTGACAAAACTCAGCACTTCGATAATGTCATCGTAGTGGTCCGGGTCGATGAGCTGCAGTGTTTCATTGAGCTGAGCAGACTGCCTCGGTAGGAGGGATGTGATGCAATTCTACATCTACGGCATCTAGGGAGATGTATACTTACACGAATATCCGAATATCTTTCTGTTGAGCTGCTTGGAATCAAATCCCATCTGCGACACCACGTCGAGAATCGCATGTGCATGGACCGGTGGACTGGTTGTGGTTGACGTGGTGGACGTGTTGGTGCGCGGACTCGCCTTACAGGTACGGCTCTTGCCAATGTGAACCGACCAAAGCAGCAGAACAAACGCCGCGGCACGGTTGTACTATTCTTGGATGATACCGAGCTTGCCCTCAGATGGCAGGGCCAGACATTCTCAGGCCGCATTCCTGTGTACTGGGATGTCGAGTCGCCCTTGCGAAACTCTTTGCCAATGCAGCCAGAGTGCAGCACGTGCATCAGAGATCTCTTGGCAGCAGGTTCCATGTCATCCAAGAGGTTTTGCAGCTCCGCGTCCTTCCTCAAAGGGGCAGGCTTGCACGAGTTTCGCAGCCATCCACGGACCGAGCCCAACCAAGTGGCGAAGAGCTGTAGCCAAGATTTTGCACCGCTTCGTGGATCGCCTTGTCGAGCTGCATGCTCAGCACCGCCTGCATAGGCTTGAATATGAGAGGCCCCCTTCCCCTGTATGTGCTGCTTTTTGAACCTCATGCGATTGGATATTGGGATCGAAGCTCTCATCGCTTCCCGGGCCTTACATCCACAAGTGGCCATGCAGTTCTCCTGGGCCCATTCGCCTGTCCAAGGTGGAAAGAATGACGGCTGATGCACGTGCGAATGAGGCCCGGCATCGCCCGCCTTTGCAAGCACCTTTCATGGAGGATGCGCTCGATAGAGCTCCCCATTCACCATCTCGCGCCTCGGGAAAACAGGGAGTTCGACTTCAGGCTCGGGGTTTTTCGAATTTCCGTGTCCTGCAGTCAAGAGACCCACTCTTCACAGTTCTCCCCCGGACTTTTCGAGCTCCACTCTGGCTGCCAGGTGTCCTCACAGTCCTCGACTAGCAAAGACTGGCTTTGCAATGCCATGTATAGCCTAGTGTCCTAGTGTGAAAACAGTGTCAGCTGTTCTGAGCCTTGCCTCTTCCGAGAAAGTCAGCTTCGAGACGTTGGAATTCTTGAGCTTGGCAAGGGCGTCACGCGTGGCATTGGCAAGCTTGCTGGCATTGTGCTGAGAAGATTTTGCATTGCTCTCGACGGAGCGTGTGCCATTCTCTTCGGAATCTGCAGATGATCTCACCACATCCGCAATCGAGGAACCTTTGACAGGTTGCGGTCTGGATTGCGCAACGGAAACACGAGCCAGCACCTGCTAAATAAGCTGAGGGGCCGCTGGCACCAAAAAACCTCGACAATATGAGACCGCTTCTGAAGATTCTTTACCACAAGGCTTGAAGACGCACCTCGCCCAGAGTCCATCCACACCGACTGGACGGTGTTCATGCGTCTCCGCGAGTTCTTGGTCCTGCCGTGTAACTCTGACTGACGACTGCAATCCAACTCTACCGGCCAAGCTACAAATTTCGGCACCTCCTGACGCATCAAGGCCGGCATTGTGGCCGACCCATAGGCATCCACCACAGCGGCTCGCCTTTTCAGAGGCGCACTTCCGAAGAGTCGGAAAGCAACCTCCTCTGTTACCGGGGCTCTTGCTTTGGCCTCTGTGAATCCTGCGCTGAGATGCTGCTGGCCGACAGCTGCTCGAAGACGGAACCTGACATTGAAGCCTTCTTTAAGGCCTGCGGCCTGCATGCTTGTGGAGGCTTGCATGGATTGGTCGTACTGGACAAATTTTTGGGGCTCGGCTGAGAAGTAGCCAGTGACGAAGGCCATGTAATCCAGCCGTCATGGCCTCAGTTTCTGAAGGCCCGGGCTGAAGTTTTGCGAGAGCCCTTCTGATGACGACCAAGGTGCTGAGGTATGGAGACAGCTGCATCAAACAACTATCGGCCCGTTTTTGCTCCGAACCGAAGGGCTGAATGCAGGAGCATGCGTTCAACACTGCTGCTAGCCTCTTTTCACATGCGCAACAAGGGTTGTGTACACACTCTCTCGCTCTCTCTCTGAGACTTTGACCAGGTCTTCTTCGGAGTCGCAGAGTGGGATCCACAGCTCGTTTCCGCAAGTGTGCCTGGAACACCATCGGGAGCTTATTCCGCAAAAGCAGATTCTGGTTCTGTGCGGTATCCATGAGACGGAAACAACGAAGTTAGCTTTGCTAGATCCCCGAACCGACCGTCTCGTGAAGAGATACGCCGACGGGCAAAAAGACAACATCGACAACGTTGCCACGGCACCCTTCCGGTAGGCGTGTTGCCGGCCACGATTCGATCCTGTAACAGCCAAGACAAGAAACCAACCCCTGTCACGGCATGGCCTGTCCTCTTCACGACCGCCATTTCAGTGCGTTCATCAGCTGCCACACTTAGACGCGCAGGCACGTGCAGCCCTTCTGCATCAGACATTTGACAAAAGAGCCGGCTCAAGTCTTCCAGTCTACATGAGAGGATATCTCTGGAAAGTAGCTCGATCTTTCTGCGTCGAACTTTGCGTCGGTCGCCGGTCCGGCGATTGACCTGAACCTTGGCACCTGAGACAGCTAAGGTGTAGAATGCTCGCGAAGAAGTCGCATGGAACGCCGGATTGAGCCCCAGACGTATGTCTATGACATACATGTTTCGGCCCACTTGGAGTTCCAACATCCTGCGTTAAGACATGAGCGAAGAGGCCGTAGGCTCACCTACTCCCGCTACTGCAAAGCCCGGCCTCAAACCGGCCTCGAGCGTGTTGTTCAAGCTGCCGCTGATTTCAGGGCTATAGGCAGACCACGAATTGTTGGGCAGCTGCACTTCCCACATGAAGTTTGCCTGGGATGGATGGCACCCGTGGCGAGCTTGAAGAGACCCGGTGTTGACCAAGTTTACAATTTCTGCTACATGCTCTCTCCCAAAGGTCTAGCGGGCCCGTGCCCTTTCTGGGCTCGGCTGCTTGATTGTGCTACTGCGTGCATCGAAGTGAAGCTCAACTTCGTTGCAGGCAGTTCTTTCTCGCCAAAGCTTGATTGGAGGACACCACAGACGACCTCCTGCTCCCCCACTTGCTCGGCGGCCCACCCACCCACCTGCCCACCCAGCCAGTGACTCGATGACGCGGGCATGTCAAACGCTTCACTGGCGACCGTCACCTGTTCAAGAATCTGGATAGGCGCCACTGTACCCGCCGTTCGGGCCTCGCTCACATGCACTATTTCGCCCTGCATTGTTCGGCGAATGGGCTTCGCCGCGGCTCTGATGTGCCGTGGTCTGAGTGGCTGTGGTCGCCGGACGTTCATTTTCACGAGTTAGCAACTGTTTCAGCTGTAAGTCGCGGCATCAATCCAAACAGACCTTCGCAACGGTGCGAAAAAGCCTGCCTTTGCCAGAGTGAAGGGGATGGTTGCTTGTACGTTGTTGTTCCCTTCGTCTAAGAGGCCTGTTGCTGATGTTCGGGCAGCTCTCCTTAGCTGGTTCTGGGCTGGGATGCTGGTTCGTTCTCCTTGGAGCAACACTGGACAAGCAAAGAAATTCTGGCGTGTCTTCTTTGTCAGTGAGGCAGTGGTCTGTCGCTCTGCTTGTTTCTCGCTATCCAGGAATCCAAGCTGCACTGAAAAGAGGCTTCTCTTGCGAGATCATCACCTGCAGCCTGGGCTTGGGCTCGATGGCTTCCACGCCACCCAGGGGCAAACGCTCGCTCCCGGTCCAGAACTCCAACAGCCTCGACCTGTCAAGGTCAAGAAGCATGCTAGATTTAGATCTTACGCGCATGTCGCAAGTACAAGTGAGTATATGTCGTATTGTGTCGTACTATGTCGGATTCATTTGTATGTGCGTAGACATAGCAGTATACACGATTGTAGTTGTGTACACTGTAAACATATACAGATGCACAGGACGCACACACTCATCCCACCGTCGACCTTGGCAAAAAATGCCTGAATTCCGGGCATGCAATGGGCATATAATCGGCAACACAAAACCAACAACAGAAGCGTCATTAACTGGCTGTAGACATGTCACGCCTCTAACTGTCGTGCAGGGACTTCTAGTTGACATGCCGCGCTACACTGTACAGACTGTTACATGGGCTCACCAACACCATTTCTCATATAATCTTCATTCGGCAGGCACGACTTAGATGCTTACGTGACCTGTTGATCCGGTGGGCCTGAACTTGGAGTCCCCTCGGCGAATGATCTTGAACAGCCAAGCCAACGATGTCTGGAGTTCTTTGGTGTCCTTGAGGTGCTTTGGGACCAGGCCATCTGGCACCAGAACCTGCTCGAGCTTCTCGATCTGCACATCCGAAATCTGCGCATCACCAAGCAGGAGCCACTGGAAAACGTCAGCAGGCGCTCCATAGAAAAGGCTTGGAGGAAGGACATCGAAGAATCCATCGCTAAATGCTTGCAATGCCTTCTGAGAAGAATACAACAAGGCTGCCTTGCAGCAAAGCCGGACATACTCTGCCTTATTCTCCGGAGAGACTTCGATGTCATCGCCTCCTGGAACGAGCTCTCGGCCGGCGTAGGAGAAGGTGAGCCATTGCAGGTCTTCGTCGGGCATCTCATAGCGGACTCTCCACAAGCTGTTGGCAAAGGCAGGGTCCATTGTCGCGAGATCCTCCAAAAGTTGGTCGTCACCTGCCGGCGTGTCATCCCACACCGGCAGGGCAGCATGGCGAGGTACCGGGCAGTCGATGCATCGAACCCACACATCGCCATCGCTCCAGCGAAGTCGACCGCCTTCTCAGAACTCTTCTCTGAGGCCCGAGGCTGGGGAGAGGGACCATCGAGACAAGACAAACGAAACAAGGCTTTGAGTCGTGGGGACAGGCCTGCAAGTCTGGCTGTCAGGGACTCTTCATCGAAATCTGCCTGCAGCGCATCACCTGTCATGAGTCGCGACGTCATGCAGCAGAATCATTCAGCACAGAGGATGGACAGCGATGTTCATATGACAAATTCGGAAGTAGGCTGGCCTGATTCTGAGACTTGCAGAGCGATCTGTGGAGGCAAGCCGTTCTCATCCTCGGCAACGGAACATGGCAAATTGTCGCGAAACCTGCTTGTACTGCATATGCAATGAAAGAAAAGACATGCAGAGCAACAGAGCAACGGAGCAACAGCAGGGGCAGCAGGGCAGACTCCAAATGCAAGCGTCTGCATGGCTCAGAAGGACCCTTCCAGAGATGGTAGCGATGCGGCTGTCCTCGCCCTCCCTTTGCCAGTCCCCTGCCACAGCTGCCAGAATCGGGGGAAGAGCTGCTTGCGTCTCACTTACCCGCATCAGCCATCGCAAGGCCCAGGGACTCAGAGCACAGTCCAACACGCAGCCCTGATACAAAGAGTAGGCGAGAAAGCGGCCCACCCATCTGTACAAGGACTCAGCCTTGACATGGAACGCGTGAATACGCATGTCGGTAGTGCTGTCGGGCTTGAAGAAACTGCCTGAAGCTTTCGTATCAAAGAACTCCTCACTTGCCCACAAGGCATGACCCACTTCCTGCACCCAGCGTTTTGTGAGTCCACCATGGTCAATGCCAGCATCGTCGCCAGTGAACTGTATCTTGAAGCCGTGCATCCATTCCTTGCCGCTTCTGGCAGTTGTTTTCGCAAACGACCAGGCCAACATCTGCCTGGCTGCCTTCATGCGATGTTCTGGATCCGAGTCCCCACCAGGGAAAGGACCAGACACTTCCAAAAGTCTTGCATGGGAGGGTGCTGCATTCCCAGCTCTGTTCCACCCATTCTTGGCCCGAAGATCTTCCAAAGCCTTGGAGAACTTCTTTACTGCCTCCTTGTCGGCTTCGGTAGGCTTCTTGCGACCTTCCGTCTTAAACAACGCTGGCATCTTCTTTCCAGGACTGTCTTCTTGCCCACGCAAACTAATAAACTCCTCACTGGACTGCAGCTTGTGTAGCAGACCTTCGTTGCCAAGAAAAGCAGACTTGGTGAGGAGAGCATTCGGGTCGAGCGCAGCCATCTCACGGTAATGAGTGTTCACATAGCTTTCAATCCACTGTCTGCCAAGCTCACCTACTTGGTAGGCAGCTGCCAAGGCAGGCACTAACTCCTCAGGAGACAGATGTCCATCTTTGTTCGCATCCCAATAATCGAACCAAACCTTCAGGGCCAGGTTCACAGGTCACATGAGTCCCAAAGATGAAAAGTCTTCGTGCACAGATGAATCGTCTTTAGCTCATGCCGCCTCTGGGTCAGCAAAGAGGTCAGGAACGAGACCCCAAATCTCACATGCTTGGGCTCGGAAGATCTGATCGCCCAGGTTGTATGCCTTCCTTGGACATGGCACATGATGCCGGAATGCATGTGTGGGATCGATATGGTGCCACGCAGTGCCGCATGGTTCAGCATGCGACAACAAGGAATTAGAACTCAGATGCTTCACTCAAGGTGCTGTCCAGACGTGTCCTGCGCTTCAAGGTTCCCACCCTGCGAATGGATCAAGCGAAGGAGTTCTGTAGCGCGCCGTGTCTTTGGGCGTCCAGCAGCTATTTTGTGCAGCACTGTCTGACCTCAGGGAAGAGAAGCTAGGGCTAGAGAAGCTGCCCGACGTCTGATGAGCCCAGGCACCTTCTTCGTTTTGCGCTTGTGCTACCGCCGGGAATTCCGTCAGAATGTGCGCCAGGAGGGACCAGCGTCCGTCCGACGCGGCCTTAAAGCAGCGCTGTCGCAGGTCCTCCATGTGCTTGGAGGATGCAGGAGGCGCTTCACCGACGACTCGAAAAGGAAGGGCCGATGACTGCAGAACCTCCCACGGGCGCAGTGGAGGGCATTTAAGCCTTATGGTCTAGGGCCTAGGGTTTTCAAGGTGAGACATTGCCAGCCCAGGTTCAAGCCCTTTGGCCACGGGGGCCTCGGGCTGCGAAGACCTCTTTGGAATTTGAGAAAGGAGCTCGAGGGTGCGGGCTTCGCTGGTCACAGGCGCCCCAACGACTTCGAAAAAGCGATCCCTGCCGCTCGTGTCCTCCTCATCGAGCTCGTGGAAAAGGAAGACGAAACCCCCATGCCGAGCTCCGGGTCTCAGTAGCTTCTCCTCGGGGCAAATCCAGCAAAGGTATCGAGCTCCAGCACCGGCCCACTTTTGGACAGTGACCTTCCGGAAGCGCCCGGCTTCGGCAAGCTTGCGAGTCCACTCAGAACACCACGGCTGCGGAGCTGAGAACTGCATAGGACCACTTGGGTGAAAAGATACGGAGTTTGCACACAACACTTTTAGCTGTGAGTTCTCATCCTCCTGCAGGAGAACAAATCCACCAACCGTCAGAAACGACCAGTCCGCTGCCGTGCCGTCTTCTTCCCTTTCAGAATCACCTAAAATGATGTGCCACTCAAGTTGTAGAGCATACATCCAAGCCAGCAGAACGCCGGGTACGTCAGGGATACGGCTTGCCTTGCGCACTTCTGAACACAGTTTGGTCGGAGCAATCGGCGAAAGGTCCACCGCAATACCCGTGCCCCCTTGTGGCAGTTCTAGCGCAACCCCATTCTCTCTCAAGGCTTGCCAGCATCTTCGAAGACTCCGACCGCGTTGGAAGAATGTGTCCCGCAAGATCCAAGCCCCGCCGCGTCGCGGATCGCTGCGGAAGAGATCCGAGCCTTCGAGGCCTGTTCGTTGAATACTAAACGGACCAAGCCCACCAGGAAAGGTGAATGTGCACGGTTCCACAAAGTAGTTGCTCTTCTCGGCCTCCTTCTTGCATATGCTGCAAACGCGGAAGTCGCAGCCAGCAGCGCATTCATGGTAAACTCCGCCTCGGCGAGACACCTTCTCTCCACAAACATCGCAGTAACGCCTGGAGAAGAGGCCAAGCTTCCTTCCTTCGGAAGTGGTAGCGTGACCTCTCGGGCAAAGCATCCAACTGTATGCTATGTCAAGTCGAGCCAAGCCATTGCAGCTACAACATGGCCACGGACTCAAGTCATGCCACGCCGAAACTACTACAGGAAGTGGGGATGAAATTCTCTGATAAGTGTTCAGCCGGCCGATTGCCGATCTTACTGAACCAGTGCTACGATACAATGCGGCTGCGCTGCCATCTAACACTTAGACTTAGGGCAAACTGTTGAAAAGAGCAGCTGAAGGTTGAAGGCCAAATTCACAAACCATCGCAGCAGGCACACAAGGACGTCTCCAAACTTGCTTCAATGATGCGTACAGCTGCCGATTGGCTTTTTTACAGTTAAAACGCTTCGGCTCAAGCAGAAAACACAGCCTGTGCAGAATTCCCTATGGGAACGGCACTTTGTCGCCCATCTTTGACGGGCAAGCCAACTTGTGGTACTTGGCCTGGCGCTGAACTCGACCTGCCTTCACCCTGCAGCAAGGCTTCCCAAGCCATGCCTCAACAAGCTTAGCATCTTCGTCATCGAAACCCGGAAATGCAACATTCATCGCTTTCTGACACCCAGCTGGGCCGGAATATCTGCGGTAGACATAATTCACGAACATAAGATGATCGTATTCTTTTTTCTGCTTGTCCACTGCTTCAACATCGAACTCCTTGTGCAGAAGCGCTTCCAAGCGGGTCACCTCTGATGGAAACTGATTGGCTAGATCTGTAAGCTCCCATGGATCCTCGGCAATGTTGAAGAGCTGCGCGGGCCAGCGAACCCCACTTTCCAAGGGAGCATGCGCTATTAGCTTCTTCTGGCCGTGTCTTACCATGAACGTCCCGGTCCTTGAAAATGTATCATAGTATTCAGAAACCACATAACCCTTCTTCCGCTGGTCCCAGTGGGCAATTGGCAGCACAGACTCTCCGGCAAGCTTGTCTGCTGGGACACGCGAGCGTGCACCGGCCATGTCGATGAGCGTGGGGTATATGTCATTCAAGGAGGCAAGAGACTGAATTCTCCGTCCTTTCGGCATGCCAGGCCCCGAAACGATGAGGGGGATGCGTGCTGAGGCCTCCTTCATGGAGCTCTTCTGCCACTGACGATGCTCGAGGTTCAGCTCGCCATGGTCAGATACCTAGACCACAGACTGACAAATTCTCCCAACTGCAGTCTGAAGGTCTTCAGCCCCTAGCAACCCCTTGGTTGATTTACCCCGTGCCCTCACTGACTTGGGGGATCGATGCTGTACGTATGATTCAGTCTGCATGGCTTCAGGCCGCACAGACCAAAACCACGCATGATACTCCGAGGGCTGGTTTGGGGTTCCACGGATTCGACGGTTCGGAGCAGAGGAACTGGGACCGGCTTGTTAGGTGGCGGGTGTAGGGGAAGGTCTGCAGCCGAGACACGAAGATGACATAAGCATCGTCGGGGTTCACATTCGCCCAGAAGGCGCTCAAGATCCTTCCTACGAGGTGATCTGCTTCGACACACATCGCAAAGTAGACACGCCGAAAATGCTCGATGTGCTCCGCCGAGCAATTGTCCAAATTCCAGAACTGCTTAGATTTGACGGCATACTCATCCGCGGGATGCAACTTATTCCGTGGCACCAGTGGAGGTATGGCGTGCTTTCCAAGTGGTCCAACTGCATTCCAGTATGTACTGTTGGTCTGGTACGGCGGATGAGGTACTGCGAATGAGCAGTAAAGAAACTGCGGCGTAGATGACTTGAAGAGCCCTTGCTTCAACAAGCGTGTACATTCCTCTGCGGTTGGGTAATCGAAAAAGTTTTCAGCTGGCTTCGGAACATCAATCGGTCGTTGCAGCCAATCTGTCGGGTCCTGCAACTTGGAGGACACGCCTGTGGAACGTGTCCAGGCCTTGGCAGACTCACGGACCAGTCCCGTTCCTGTGAACGGGTCATTAAAAATGTGTCGGCTAAAGCGTTCGACACCGCCGCCTGCATGGACTTTACCCCAAAGGGTCAGGTTGTAACCCTGGTCAGCTAGCACATCGAAGAACGTGCCGTTGATTTTTTGCGCAGCTGCGAACTCAAGACATTCCCTGCGGGAGTATGCAGCAAGGCAAAAATTGTCTATCTGGCTGTCGTCCCCATTGACATTCGCGATGCCCACGAAGTTGTCCCAAATCTTAATGTCTGAGTTGTACCGTCCAGTGACCATCGATGTTCTCGCAGGAACACACAACGGAGAATTGCTATACGTGTTTGGAAAATAAGCACCCCTGTTCATGAGGGCTCGTAAATTCGGCAAAGGCGGCTTGAACTGAGGTGTTTCATCATCGAGGAGGCGACCATCCATCTCATCCACCATAAGGAACAAGATGTGAGGGCGTTCATGCCTCTCGCGCTGCTCTGCAGCGAGAACCAGACTGCCAGCTGCAAAGCTCAAGAAGGCCCTCGCAAGGAGCCACATTATGCACCAACAGATGAAATAGAAGAACGTGGGCTGACCATGAGCAACAACTTTTCGGTATCTACCTTGGGTCAAAACTGCAGCGTCGTGCAACTGCTCCGTGCATGTACACCAACCTGATGCAAGCGAAGCACACCAATAGCTTTTTAATAGTGACGATGGGGGAAATTCTTCGCTGTTCCTGTTGGGCTCAGACGCCTCGGCTTCGTGGGTGACTTGGTCTTCCTGCGATTCGCAGCCTGGGAAGCGTGGAAAAACGTGCAGATGCTCCTGCATGCGTGAGAGAGAGAGGGGCATTTTTACCGCATGTAGGCCCTTTTTGCATCCGAGCTTGGAGCATTGGCCAGGGCCCTCCTTGCCGTGGTCTCGTGCAAGATGCAACAGCAACCCGGCGTGAGGGCTTCGTCGATCTTCGTCTATACAGCACTGTACACGAGCAAAGCGTCTTTGGCTTCATGCTGCTACGTCTTGCTTCCAAACCAAACCAAGTTCTGATCCTTGTAAAACTCGAGCGACGCACCGGAAGGCATCGCGTCGAAGATGCGGCCGCGCGAAGTGCTCTCCAGAAACTCCTGCCATCGGGCGCAACAACGAGGATCAAACCCTTATCTTACTTCAGCCGGCTGTGCATCGCTGTGGCACCTTGGATGGTGCTCTGAGCTTCAGGAACGAGAGGGAGCTCATTGTAGACAGGACTCCCGGTAGCTCCGCCATACTCTCCACGTCAAACGGGACCTGGCCCACAAGAGCGCTCACGTTCCCAGCTGGTTTTGAGTGCCTTCGGGGCCTTCCGCAGGTCCACCTCGAAGAAAATCGGTGACAGGTGCGGCGCACGAAGCATCTCCAGCAGGAGCGTCACCTGCGAACAGTACTTGTCTTTGCATGGCGTCACTCGGCAAGTTTGCACCTGCTTCGCTGCCGGCATTGTGAGCGTGCGGCCTGAAGTCAGATGTCGGCCGCATCTTTGTGCGGGCAGCGGCACAAACGCATGTCTTCCGGACTTTCCTAGTTTGTCGTTTGACCTTCTTTCTTTCGCGATGGTAAAAGCAAGGGGTTCTCCCAGTTCTCTCTCTTGCTTGCACTCAGCCAAGGAGAGGCGCTCCCCGCACTCTCTCTCTCTCTCTCTCTCTGCCGCTGCGTCCAGTTTGACTCGCTGCACGTGACTATGTACTATTCTGCGCCACGTACTGATTTACAGCACCGTGTGCTTTGCACGTATTACTCTCTAGTACTTCCTGATGCCAGTTCAGGCCATGTACTGCTAGATGGTGCTGCTTCGATGCGTTTTATAGTCTTTGACTCTTCAGTGCCACCTCCCACTCACATGAAGTATGCTTCAGCATGCCTCTCTACATGCATCCGCCCAGCAAGCTCGTAGAAGCCAAGCCGACTAAGAAGCCAGCAAAGGCGAGCACCAGTGCCACCTGCCTAACTAGCGAAAACCAACAAGACCAAGCCATCCGTCCTCTCCGAGATTCCTTTGGGCCGTCCAGAAAGCTCGGCTCGTAAACAAAGCTGCGGAGCCGCAGCCTGCAGTGACAACCAGGCCAATGGCCACGGTGACAGTGTAGCTTCTGAATGGAGACCGTCGTTCAAAACATGTTCGCACGGTCGGCCTCAGTGAATCCATCGCGACGTCATAGCTGGCGACGGAGATGGCGCAAACTTGCAGCACCTCAGCCAATCAAGCTTCAACCTGCCTGCGTCTGTTTTGTGATGCACTTGGCTCCGAGCTTCTTTGGTGGAGAGAAAATGCAGAGGACGCACGTGGCGAACCGGAACCGGCAAAATCCCACGCGGTCGCCGTGCCAAACGCTCCTCAGACAAGGACTGCGCACAACTTGCAATGCGAAGGCATAAGGGTGTCTAAAACAGGATATCGGCTGACACCGTCCTGCACGGTTCGCGGCCGCACGAGCTGACGTAGGAGCGCTCGCATCTTGATGAACATCCCTGGCGTAGTGTCCTGCTCACGACCTACAGGACCTACCCACCTCCGACATGTGATGCGCGTAGGGCTGCGCAGTCAACACTTTAGAAGACTCATCACGACGACCCAAACGGCCCACATGTGCAGCCAGGTCGAGAACGGTTCGAGGAAGGCTTTCCGGGAGTGTCTGCGGCTAGGGTTTGAAGCCTGGTTCTCATACTATTCAGTCCTCTCTGTTCCAGTGCAAGCGTTTGTATAGAACCCCTAACCCGTACCCCTTAAAAATACGACAGCCTAGCAGAATGCTGGCCAAGTCACCCTGAGCTGCGCGACAGCACGTCGATCATTGCCAGGGTAACCCAGCATCTGCTGAAGCTGCTCCCCTACCTGCAGCTGCACACTTTAAGTAGAAGCGTTTCTGTGTCCTGGCGGTGGTCGTGCCTGAAACTTGCGCCTCATGCGCTCTGCCGCTACGGCAGCCAGAAGCTTCCGCTGCTTCACTGGCTGCGACTCTTTCCTGGGCTGCCCGGGCTGTCTGGGCGCTCTTGACACTTCAGGCGCCACGTACTACTCTTCGGTGAAGCGAGGCTCTCTGCCAGCACCCGGGCTTTCGCAGCCACCTGCCATGTGGAAACCACCTCGCACAAACTCATGAATGACAGCTTCCACGGCGCATCATGGTGCACTTTCTACCACCGTGCCTTGCCTTTGCGAGGCTGCGCTTGGGGGTGTTTGCCACTATGGCGAGGAGCTCGCTGCGCAACTGCAGGGCGAGCCTCGGTTGCATCGTGATACTCCTGATAGCCATGCAGGCTCCAATCCCGTTTCTGTCATGTACAGTCGTGAGGATGCACCAACCCAAACTAGTGTTCGCACACTGGAGATGCTCATCTATGAACATGACGAGATGTCCTCTCGCGCGAAAAATGCGAGTATCACTCATCGCACAACTTCTTATGAGCGGGCAGTTAAAGCCGACAACCTGAATATTGGCATGACACTGCAGGGCTTTTCTTGCGGTCTGAGCGGCGAAAGGTTGGTCGTGGCGGGCGTGCCTTTGTGGTGTGCCATGCCAGATTCATGAGGGACGGAGGAAGCGGGGGATAGAGAAGGTCAGGAAGATGACACAGAAATAGTGGCGGTGATGATGAATGCGGCAGGAATGACAGTGGCAGGGATCATGGTGATACATGACAGGCTGACGAATCAATCATCGGAAGAGGAGGCGCTTCTGGAAGGTACTAGGACCAGAAGCTCATGTCGTAAACGAGATGCTTGATACATAATGTAGTCATGACAGGGTGGCCGTGTGCGTGAGTGAGTGAGTGAGGGAGAGTGACTCTCTGATTGGGAGCTCGTGCGAGCCGGCCATCAAGTAAGAGGTCTTGAGGCAGCCCGTCAGGGTTGAGTGGAGTTTTGCCAGACGGCCGGAAAGGAACTGTATGGTTTGCATGACAAACTGGTGTCCCAGCAACCATTTGCCAGCAAGTCGCCAAACCTCTTGCTGCTCCTGGAGAGCACGGACTCAAATCGTAGGTCAAGCGTTGGATCTCGCTCCAACTCCTGACAGCGTACAGTGTGAAGCTCAGACAAGCAGAAGCCTCACATGGCAATACCCGCATATGAAACAGATAGGTTCTGCCCGAGCATCGCTGGTGAACTCCGCCATGCTGAGGGGATCATGAGCGGCGGAGTTCGAAGGGCGGGTGCATGCGGTGCCTAAGTTCGAACTGCAGTGGGACATGCAAAGGCATCAAGCTACCATGTTCGGCCCAGCGGCATCGAAGGGAGCTCAGGGAAGTTCGCCATCGCAGTGCTTGTTGCATAGGCGCACGCGCTGTCACTATGCGGAGGTCCTTGAACATCACCCTGGCAACATAAAACCCGCCTCCGAGTGGCCGGATGCCCGGGTGTGGCTTCTTGGAAGCTTGGCCACGCCCACGAACCTCAGAGACCTGCCGACCGGACACCAAGCTTGACTCCAAGGCCAGAAGGATCTCGTCCGGGTAGTCCTTGACCCGGTGTTCGTAATCATCCTCTGCGGCATCATTCAGGAGCAGATAGCCACAGCTTGCAGCTTGTCCGTTGACCGTACCTGCACACAGACACTGCAAGTCTGAATGCAGAGCAAGAAGTGAGCGGCGGCCTCCCTTTCTGAGCCGCTTCGATGACCAGTATTCGTGGGGCGGCTTGCGCTTCTGTCGTAGGCGAAACATGGCAGAATCAAGAGACCAAAGAGATATGCATGTCTGCACTTATGTGCCCTTGGCTGTCTCACCTGCCGGGATGCCCACAGCAGAATGGTGTCTTCGTAGCTTTTCGCTTCTGGTCTCAAGCTTCGGCAGGTCCGCAGAATAAGTTGAAGAAATAGTGCGCTAATTTAATTAGCTCTACACTGTCTAAGACACCGCATGGTCCAAGTCCACATCGCTGAAAGTTTATTCTTGAAGCCTTTCACATTGAACATGCCGACATAGCTCCGATATGGCTTCAAGAAGAGAGTCTTGTCAAATATGTCCAACAATTTGCTGAGTATCGGTGATTTGTTGCAATGTCTTGTCGAAACAAACATGCCACAGCGCGCTTCTGAGACAAAACAGTTCGGCCAGCTGGGATGATTGCAGGAAGCTCAGATCACACAACACTGCGCGTGTGCATGAATCAACGCCATGCAAAGACTTCTTGCTTGTCCTCTCTCTGCGCCGGCGTTCGGTTCATGATGCTGCCCCCAGCAAGATGCTCAAGAGGAGCAATGCGCCGCGCAACAAGCTGACCCTGTACAGATGCGGCAGAAATCAGAAAGTGCTTATCCCACTGGAGACTGTGCAAAGATGCGCCACGTGCTCGGTCACTTGCTTGGGTTGCTTCAGCACAACACAACGAGCGTCTTGCACAGCCTGCTTGACCGACAGCAGCTTGTGTGGTACAAGATGGTACAAGTATGCGCAGTGTCAGGTGCCATTTTGGCCCTTCCGCATCCGGCCCCGGCAGTGCGGGCTAAACCCGCATGTGCTGTGCCCGGAGTCGCACGTCGCGCACAACATGAGAAATTTCATGATAATTCTACTGGATCAAATGCTGCAGCTTCTGCAGGTCCTGCCAGCGTCGCAAGTCCCCTTTCGTCAGGCACACAGATAGCGCCTGCGGAGATATGCAGTCAAGCTGTGCACAGGCCACGAAGTCCCTCGGAGAGAAAGCGAGCCGTTGCCGCAGTTCCGGGAAGCGCTGCACCGCTCCGGTACTGTCAACGCTGAGCAGACATCCCTGAAGCTCCGTCTGGGAATCGCAACGATGTAGAAAGGGAGCGGTCCACTTCTCTCGCATCTTGGAAACAGACAAAACCTCCACGAGCCATATCTTCCGTCTCTTCAATACGAAGGCTGCGCAGCCGTAAGCTCCACTTCCCTTGCGTGTGTCGCCTGAAAATGGAGAAGTTTGGAGCAATGTGGAGGACTCGCGTTCAAAGAGGCGGTGGAAAGCGTTGCCATCACCAGAGGTTGCTTTATCCACAAGGTCTCTTGCTCTGAGGAACTCGTCCGCATACAGGATCTCCGTTGCGAGAGGGATCTCGTGGATCAAGTTTGCACTGCCTACATCCGGAGCCACAGGGTCCAAGATGCACGGGAACGGCCAAATCCGAGAGCCCATGTACTCTCCCGAAGAACCACACATGCTGACATGGGTGTCAGCTGGCCAGACCAAGGACTGAAAAAAGTGATCCAAGGCTGCTAAGAGCCGCCCACAATGGCTTGCAATTAGCTCTTCTTGAGCGAGGAAGGCTTGCAGCCTTTGGACTGCAAAAAGTATCCAAGCCAGAATGGGGTAGCCACCCTCTTTCGTGCCGGGTATCTGGCGCCGTGAGTGCCAGTATTTTACACATCTCAGATAATCCACAACCTGATCGATATCAAGCATCAATCAATGGAAAGCTGTCGACCAGCGCAGTACACTTCACGTGGGCCGAGCGACAAAGTCTTGCTCCTCCTGAAAGATATGCAAGCTCTGGAACCAGGAGACGTGCTCGTCCTTAGAAAACCGCTTCCCAATGCGCACACGAACTCGCATGATTGCTCCAAGAACATTAAGGCCAAGAACAGGCTGTAATTCCGCCGCAATACTCCAGTCTAGGTCGCATCAGCGATGTATTCTATGTATTTGTGTTGTGCCACGCTACCGGCAGCTTCCGATTCACGGATAAGTCGAGAGAAGCCATCCCGTCGCCGGTCGAAACCTCGAAGTCTCAAGGATCCGTCAAACTGTCTACACATGGCCCCGTTACGCAGTGGCAAGGCAGCATGCCGAGGAGAGCGGCCATAATAATCGGCACCCGAGCGCGGTCAATGACCTGCACGCGAAGATGGGGCTCCTCCAGCAGGGGATCTGAAGACTTCCACAGAGCAAAAGCCTCCTGACTCTTCAGAGTCGACACGCAGAACACTAACCTATGACCCATGCTGTTGCAAAGCTCCTTCTGCCTTAGCACGGCGCCCATGTCATTGAGGGCTTGGATGACGTCGACGGGATGTTGGGTAAACACAACTGCATCGACATCCTTGCATAGGTTGGCAAAGCATCACAATCTCGACATTTCTGTGGTCTTGTCCGAGGGGCAGAGCTGGGTACATCGATTGTCAAGGCCACCTCGGCTCTGCTCTGAGCACCGGCCAGAACTTCGGGGTTCTGGACTGGAGCTCCGGGCACTGCCTACCAGCGCCATGCGCTCGAAACTCGGCAAAGCAGCTGCGGCTGCGTCCCTGCATGTCAGACGAATGCACATAGCGGGATGTTTTGGGAGCACACAGAGCCCTCACTGCCTGACTCTGCTGAAGAGCTCCTCCCTCAAAGGGAGCAACTTCGCTGATTCATTCCGCCTGGTGCAGTGTGATCTCTCGGCTATCGGAGCACTTGCTGGCTACCTACAGCATTGCCAATGCTGCGGTACTGCGCTACAAGTGCGTCCGTTTGCAGACAAGTCACAACAACGTCAATATCTGACCAACACCTCAGCAAAAGCCCACATTTGAGCTCCCACATTGACATGGCACGGATCTGGACAAGCTGCAATCGTCACATGAAGGTCTTCTAGCGCAGCTGACATCATCTGGAGTCTCTGAGCAACACCTCAATGATGAAAGAATAGAAGTCATCAATAGTGACAAACCCGCGAACAGCGTTGAAGTAGCAGACTTCGGTCTGCAGTGACTTCCGGCAAGCTTGATGTCACGCCGCAGGTGGTTGGAATGCTGAGCCCTTTCGAAGCCAAGCCACTGCTCACTTTGGACATCGCCATCTTGGCTGAACGTCTCGTGGCAGATGGCCTGCACAACACTTGCAAACGCCTAAGCCGTGATGAGCAGCTGGCACAACCGTGTTGACCCACGAAGAAGTACGTACATGCCAAAAAAACGGGGTCTTCTTTCGCACAAACTTAGCAAGGCTTCAATGCGTTTTTAGTCCTCAAATTTCACTCCCTTCCGCAGTTTGCATGCACGGTGTGGAGAAATCGTTCTGCTCAACGCGCCCGCACAATCGCATCACCTCGCTTTCGCATGAATCCCGCAAACATTAGCTGTCAGCCTCGCTAGAATGACATGACGGGCCGTCCCGAGGAGCAGTGCAAAGAGATGCTAGGAGACATACCGCGGCAATTTGCCACCAAAAGCAACTCAGCCGTTCCACTGGCTGAAATTCGTGGGAGCATCAGACCAATCAATTCTACCTACTATCTGCACCCTGGAGGTCTCTTGTGAATTTGTTACGTTGTTCAGTTCCTAAGTGGCAGCCGGTCTTCTTTAAACAGAGGTACCGGGTGCCTCACGGCTTGTACAAGGTCTTGTTGATTCATTTCCTTGATTGTCACGGTGCCGGTTTCGCTCAAACCCAAAATCTTACATTCTTCCGGCCATCTGCTCCTGCGGAAGATGGAATGTGTTGGACAGCAGTTCTCTCGGTGCGGACATGTGAAGTAGCGATTCCCACACTGTTTTCTATTTTTGCTCCTGGCATGTTCATGTTCCGACTGCTGGTGTCAGCAAAAGACATCAACAGTTCGCTTGGAAGCTTGGGTCGCTCGAGGTTATCTGTGAAGTCGGGGGCCACACGGCGATTGCAAGTATCACGATGTATCACGTGCGGCGTTCGTGGCTCTGGCGCCTCTGTATGCAAGGAAGTCGTTGCCGCCGTGTTCGTTTCAGATGCTGCATCAACATCTGACAGCGGTTTGATGGCATCCTGAGCTATTGTATCAGAAGTGCAAGCAGGTACCGAATGAAATCAGGCAATATCCCAACAGAGGCAAGAAGCCGTCTGTGCTAGACTTTGCTTGGGAGAAAACTTTGGTCTCCATATTCGTCGCCTGGAGCTATGGCCAGCCAAAGGAGGATGAGAGCTGAAGCAAACTTTCCCCGAAAGCGGCAAGTCCTCTCACATCCAAAAATGGTCGAGACGCTGGGTATTTGACTTGTGCCTGCCACCCTCGGACACGCCAATTCACTATGCCGTGATGAATCAGAGTGAACGACAGTTGCACGATGACGGGCTTCAGCACTTGGGTGCAGCTGTGAGACGGCGCGGAACTGATCGTGCCGCGGCTTATGACTATGAGGCATGCTCCTCGGGAAATTCCAAGGGTGCAGGAACTTTATTCGCTGGCTCCTCCTCTTTGAATGCCGAAAGACCTTCGCAGAGAAGGCTGCTGCGATGCGGCCTTGGGAGGACAAGAAACTCTTCCTCCAGCAGATGAGATAGAGGAGGAGATAAGATCATTGTGTGCGACTGTCTAGCTAGGCGGCGATTTCGGCGCAACTGACGGCAGTGCGCCCGCCCGCAGGCTCTGAAGGCTCGTCAGACTTCCCCCGCCTGGCAGATCGGGCAGGTACTGCACAGCCAGGTTCTACGAAGTGAGTATCCGGCACTAGGCTGTGATTCAACACCTAGTGCCCACCCGAAGCTGAAGGCAAGAGGCTCCCATGAAGGTTTCCAGGGCTCCACCTGATACAGTTCGACTCTGAACAAGTGGCCAAAGCCGCACCCAAGAATAAAAGGCACAGTAAGACCTGCGCCACGGAGATCCACTCTTCCTTCCACCGTTGCTCCTGCACAGGCGATCTGCTGCTCAATCTTTCCGTACCGGTGTGCTGCGGCACGCCGCGTCTCCTCTTCTTGTTTCAGGGAGACACTGCCTTGGCCACATCCTCGAAGTGCAAGTTCGATCTCTCGGGCATAGGCCGTAGAGATTCGTGATCCCGCCTGGGCTGCGTCTGCAGCCTCGCATGTCGACGAGGTCAGCCCAGGGGTGAAAATTGCCTTGAATCTGGATGGAAGGAGGTCAGAACCGATAGACAGACAGCCAAGGAGCATGTTTGCACACATGGCAATGCATCATGCAAGGACATCATAATGGATCATTTACCGGCTACGGGCAGTTCCTGGAAACATTACATTTATTCTACTAGTCTAGGTTGAAAGTTGGCCAGAATTCTGTGACTCACGGGACTGCCAGTCTTTCCTAAGCATAATGCCCACAGTCGTTGTAGGCTTAACCAAGTTTGTGCTCGCACCTAGGCGTTTGATTCATCCCAGAACCGCCTCCCAACAAGCTTCGGCCTTCGCATGTGCTGCAAAGCTGCTGTACAAGCAGCCAGGTCCAGCAGGCAAGTTGAAGCAACTGGGAAGACGAAACACCTAGGGCCCTATTTTCCATGGACATCACCAAACACGTTGATCCTCTTGGCAATGGATGATGGCAAGCCTGTGAGTAGCCAAATCTTCTACTTAAAGATCATGACTGCATGGGCGTGGGGAAAAGATTTATGTCATCCTTTGAGCGCTCGGCTTCTTAAAGCAGTCTTGATGGGCGCTTCCAGGCCGCGACAAACCCCCTTGAGCCGGGATCGGGTGCTTTGAATCTTAAACCCTCGGGATTGCTCTGGGACTGTGCCAAATGATTGTCATGGACGTCGAAGGGTCGACAGCACTGTGACGTGCCCACAGGCACGATGGGTATGGATATGCTGCGATATGCCTGACATATGTGAACTTGTCAAGCCTACAAAGGGGGAAGCAGTGTCAACGAGACCTGAATTACGCAGCGAGGAGATGGCCTTCACTTTGGGCGTCACCCGCTTCTGCCACATCCGGCAACGCAACGCCAATCATAGCATCGCGTGTCACCAAGGAGGCAAGCCGCTCTTCCGACCAACCCTCAGTTCCCACAGGTCGCTGGGGCAAAACGATATATCTTAACTCAGAATTAGAGTCGTGCACTCGGAGTTCCACGTCTTGTGGAATCTCCAGACCGAACGACTCTTTCAACAGCTCTCGCGGTCTTTCCACTGCTTGCTCGCGATAGTCGCGAGACTTGTACCATGCCGGGGACAAGCCCAACAAAGTGACCGGGTAGCAGGAGCACAAAGTGCACACAACCAGATTGTGCACCCTGCGTGTCGATTCAACCACTTTGATCCTCACTGTGGACGTAGAGCTGGTCGCCTCGTGACCGAGCAATTGAATGGCAGCGTGTGCATCTTCGAGAAGCAAGCTTTTGAAGCTATCGTCGCACCAGGCACGCGCCACAATCCACGGTCCTACGGGGTGGACTCCCAAGGAGTCTATGACTTCCATTGCCCTAGAAACCGCTGACAAAGCCAGGATGCCCCTAAAAGTCAAGACCTGCAAGAGGGCCTCAGTGACCCGCTGTCCAGGCGTTTCTCTGCCTTCTTTCTCCACTGCTTGTGCCTCCACGATGGATCGCGGAAGGTGCTCGTGTGGCTCGTGCCTGCCCTGCTGTCTGTGGATTTCATCACCGCGCTCGCGAAATTCCGCATGCTTTGATGCAAAGTCGTGCATGCTCTGGGCGACGGTCTTCAGGCTCTGACGCAAGTGTCTCCTCTTGGGGGCTTTGGGGGCTTTCGCTGCCCCAGACGGTTTTGCATCTGCCCCTGCCTCCGGCTTCACAGTCTCAAGCCAGCACTGGGAAGCTTCAACAGTGACGAGTCTTTCAGGACGTGTCGACAGTGCTTCTGAATCGATATCCACCACATACATGTGTTGCTTGCAGCTTGCCTCCAAGCCGAGGCTCTTCTGCAAAGCGAAAAAACTGTCGTCTGATCGAAGGCCCAGTCTCTCGGCCACCGTACCCTGCAGCCCGGCAACACTGCCGGGCACGGGCAAGTATGGCCTCCGCCACTGCGATGCGGGGCCGGTCTGGGTCCTGTCTTTGATCCTCACCGATGCCCCAACCTTGAAGGCTTCGCCCCTCTGGTGGCTCCGCCCTCCCAAAGCCACGTCCAGTTCCTTCACATCGATGATACCCTGCTTCAGCAAGAGCTTTGCAAGGGCAGCAGCCCATTTTCCATAGTAGCCCCAGTCAGCGTGATCGAAACCCTCGTCGCTCAGTCCGAGGACCTCCTGCTGCAATTCGCTCGTTCTGACCTGCTCTGTAGATACAAGTACCACTACGAGCGCATGTATCTGCTGCTCCCAGTGGTGAAGCTGCTTATCATCAGTTGCTATGCTGCCAGCGGTACTGTCACTACCGTTCCTGCCGGTGCTGCTATGTTTAAGTGGCTCCTGGCCGGCGCCATCGTCCAGCGCAAGCAAGTCGTCGGCTGGGCCAGCTCTGCAGCGGCGTGGATGGAGAGCAGCTTTGGCCCCAGTTGTGGAACAAAGTGACCGGCGCGCACCCTGTGGCAGCCGAAGCGACACCGCCGCAATGGCTGTCGCGAAGCTGCATAAGCGCAGCGCTCCTGTTGTTGACCCAGCCGAGGTGTCCCTAAAATTGATTGATGGCACAACAGCTCCATGACAAGGTGTGAAAGTTGTGAGCATAGGCAGCGCCAGGCGGCACCTCGTGAAAATCTGAGCCCGTGTGGACGCCATTGGGCTGATGCCGGGACACGGCGCCATGCTTATTCGTGGCACTTGGGCCAAGGACATCAGTCAGGGTCTGTTCGAGCACAGGAAGCCAAAACCCGTTTCCTGCAGATACAGCGATCTAAGCAGCGGCTGCTTGCAGCGGGAGATTCAGGCGGTGCCACTTGCAATGGGAGATTACTGTACAATAAGTTGTGCACCGCCTTGTCCGGTGTCGCACTTAATTCGGACTGCATGTCCCAAAGAGGCAGGAAGACCCAGATGCTCCTGCATCACACACACACACACGCACGCGCACGCGCACACGCACTCATGTACGTAAGCTAAACATGTGTATATATAGCAACATGGATCAACTGCGTCCAGCACTCAAGGCTGTGAATCATCCAGTGCCGGTGAAACTGCTTAGCATAACGTTTCTGTAACTACCACGTGAGCACCATGGGGACATGTGGCTTCTGCCTTTTATGGCGATGCGAAGGGCCCCTGCACGGTCTCCTCTGAGCATGTCAACGGACTACCAGGACCTTCAGGTCCAGGCCGGAAATCGCCACTCCAGCTGCAGAATCAACCATCCTTTCAGTCACAGCAAGTTGGCGTGCCTATTTTCTCCGAAAATCGTCTTGCCTCGCCTTTGGCATCGGAGGAGGGGGTGGCACCTTCCCGAGACTAGTAGCAACCCCAGTACGCGCTGCGCCCTGAATCGAAGACCTTCACCGAACACTTATCCAAGTTGTTGCGGTGAATCCCCGAATATATATATATATATATATATATATATATATATACATATATACATATATATGTATGTATGTATGTATATATATATATATATATATGAATATATATATATATTACACACACACATTGAGCCTCCATCTCCTCCATGCTCCGCGCATTCAACACAAAATATGCAGGTCGCACTGACAAACTCGCCTACACCTACTACCCTCCGGGTCCCCAGGTGCAGCCCCCAAAAAGTGCAGAAATACTTGCCTTGATCGCCTCATCCTCTGCCGCCTTTCTCCACACTTAACTCTTCGTGGCTGCCAGCATGCACTGCATTGCACTAGCTTCGACCAGCCTTCGGCTTCGGCACAGCTGGGCCCTGTCTATGAGCCGGCTACTTGCAGCTAACCCACATGCTCAACCATCTCACATCATCTCATGCCCGGTGCCTTCGCAGGTGGCGGCGGCGGCGCCTGCCGAATGTTTATGCCGTGCACGGCTCTCGGACCACTTTGCACTTTGCGTTGCTCATGCGCTTGGCAGTGCCTGAACACCAGGAGCAGCGCCCGCCTTTGCACCTGGCTCCTGCGCAAGGCTGACTTCCACCTCACCCGCATGGTCATCCAACTCCCGGTGCCTTCGCAGGCGGCGGTGGCACCTGTCAGATGTCCGTATACTGTGCACAACTCGGCTATCAGCGCACTTTGCGTGGCAGTTCTCCAACAAGGGCTCGTGAGTTTGCAGCGCCTGAACGCCTGGAGCATCCCCTGCTTTCGCAGCTGGCTCCTGCATAAGCACTAGCTTCCACGAGTGCTGCACCTGCGACTTTCATGCTACTGGCCTTTGGCTTCGGCAAAGGTGGACTAGCCTGCGAACCACGGTCGTAGTGATCCACAAGTATAACAGCGGCACTCGTGCCTTCATGTCAGCGAGAGCCGATTGTGCATCGCCCGCCACCTATCAAACGATGCCGGCGCATTGCTTCATCTAATGGGCTCGCATCCTGTACCCGTGACTTGTGCATGCGGCACCCTAGACATCCCGACCTGAAGTATTCCTACCTCAGGCTTTGAGCAATCTTCCCATCGACATCTTGTGCCTGCGGCTTCAGGGGCGGTGGCGGCACCTGCATCACCATGACTGCACGAAGCCATGCAGCACATGAACAAGGCGATGTCGCTCACATGGCACCTTCCCAGCAGGAGCAGCAGCAGCTGGGACCGCAGATGGTTCCTCATCTTTGCTGGCTTGCGGCTTCGAGAGGGGATGGCCGGCCTGCCATGTGGCGGCACGACATCCCACAAGGCCGCGCTGAGTATGCAGAGGCCTTCGGGTCGGGAAGATGCTCCAAGCCCGCGTCCTGCGCGTGACGGGAACCCCACATGGGCATTTGCAAGGCACCTCAGATCCACAAAGCTGTGCTGCTGTGCTGCCTTCACCTTCGGGGCCACAGCGGCAGGCTGGGTGACGCCCAGCTCCTTGCGAGCTGTCGGGAAAGCAACCACAACTCCATGCACGAAAGCACTATGCATCGGAGCCTTGACTGTCTCGTCTGGGGCAGCCTGCGACAGCATCACAAGAGGCTCCACGACTACATGCCAGACATCACTGCGCCTCAGGCTCCGGTGCCTGCAGGTGCGAAAGGCATCGATATTCGGACCACTGATGCAACCTGGCGCGGATCCGCTCCTCCTTCGATGCAGAGCTGGCGGCGGTTGCCGACATGCTGGCCGCCAAATCCTCCATGACAGCTGGCTGCAACTCGAACCACTAGAATCGCTAGAAGGCGGTACATTGCCCGCGCAGTGCAGGGTGACTTGCCTTGATCGTCTCATCCGGTGCCGCCTGTCCACAGTGAGAGACAACGACCCCCAGTAACCCCGGAACGCACACCAAGCACCTGCCTGTGGTTCAGGTGTCGATGCCTGCGCAGCATCGTCGGTTTTGGCACCCGGTTCCTGCGGCCGTCCAGCTGCTGGCATGCACTGCATTGCACTAGCTTCGACCAGCCTTCGGCTTCGGCACAGCTGGGCCCTGTCTATGAGCCGGCTACTTGCAGCTAACCCACATGCTCAACCATCTCACATCATCTCATGCCCGGTGCCTTCGCAGGTGGCGGCGGCGGCGCCTGCCGAATGTTTATGCCGTGCACGGCTCTCGGACCACTGTGCACTTTGCGTTGCTCATGCGCTTGGCAGTGCCTGAACGCCAGGAGCAGCGCCCGCCTTTGCGCCTGGCTCCTGCACAAGGCTGACTTCCACCTCACCCGCATGGTCATCCAACTCCCGGTGCCTTCGCAGGCGGCGGTGGCACCTGTCAGATGTCCGTATACTGTGCACAACTAGGCTATCACCGCACTTTGCGTGGCAGTTCTCCAACAAGGGCTCGTGAGTTTGCAGCGCCTGAACGCCTGGAGCATCCCCTGCTTTCGCAGCTGGCTCCTGCATAAGCACTAGCTTCCACGAGTGCTGCACCTGCGACTTTCATGCTACTGGCCTTTGGCTTCGGCAAAGGTGGACTAGCCTGCGAACCACGGTCGTAGTGATCCACAAGTATAACAGCGGCACTCGTGCCTTCATGTCAGCGAGAGCCGATTGTGCATCGCCCGCCACCTATCAAACGATGCCGGCGCATTGCTTCATCTAATGGGCTCGCATCCTGTACCCGTGACTTGTGCATGCGGCACCCTAGACATCCCGACCTGAAGTATTCCTACCTCAGGCTTTGAGCAATCTTCCCATCGACATCTTGTGCCTGCGGCTTCAGGGGCGGTGGCGGCACCTGCATCACCATGACTGCACGAAGCCATGCAGCACATGAACAAGGCGATGTCGCTCACATGGCACCTTCCCAGCAGGAGCAGCAGCAGCTGGGACCGCAGATGGTTCCTCATCTTTGCTGGCTTGCGGCTTCGAGAGGGGATGGCCGGCCTGCCATGTGGCGGCACGACATCCCACAAGGCCGCGCTGAGTATGCAGAGGCCTTCGGGTCGGGAAGATGCTCCAAGCCCGCGTCCTGCGCGTGACGGGAACCCCACATGGGCATTTGCAAGGCACCTCAGATCCACAAAGCTGTGCTGCTGTGCTGCCTTCACCTTCGGGGCCACAGCGGCAGGCTGGGTGACGCCCAGCTCCTTGCGAGCTGTCGGGAAAGCAACCACAACTCCATGCACGAAAGCACTATGCATCGGAGCCTTGACCGTCTCGTCTGGGGCAGCCTGCGACAGCATCACAAGAGGCTCCACGACTACATGCCAGACATCACTGCGCCTCAGGCTCCGGTGCCTGCAGGTGCGAAAGGCATCGATATTCGGACCACTGATGCAACCTGGCGCGGATCCGCTCCTCCTTCGATGCAGAGCTGGCGGCGGTTGCCGACATGCTGGCCGCCAAATCCTCCATGACAGCTGGCTGCAACTCGAACCACTAGAATCGCTAGAAGGCGGTACATTGCCCGCGCAGTGCAGGGTGACTTGCCTTGATCGTCTCATCCGGTGCCGCCTGTCCACAGTGAGAGACAACGACCCCCAGTAACCCCGGAACGCACACCAAGCACCTGCCTGTGGTTCAGGTGTCGATGCCTGCGCAGCATCGTCGGTTTTGGCACCCGGTTCCTGCGGCCGTCCAGCTGCTGGCATGCACTGCATTGCACTAGCTTCGACCAGCCTTCGGCTTCGGCACAGCTGGGCCCTGTCTATGAGCCGCTGACCCACATGCTCAACCATCTCACATCATCTCATGCCCGGTGCCTTCGCAGGTGGCGGCGGCGGCGCCTGCCGAATGTTTATGCCGTGCACGGCTCTCGGACCACTTTGCACTTTGCGTTGCTCATGCGCTTGGCAGTGCCTGAACGCCAGGAGCTGCGCCCGCCTTTGCACCTGGCTCCTGCACAAGGCTGACTTCCACCTCACCCGCATGGTCATCCAACTCCCGGTGCCTTCGCAGGCGGCGGTGGCACCTGTCAGATGTCCGTATACTGTGCACAACTAGGCTATCACCGCACTTTGCATGGCAGTTCTCCAACAAGGGCTCGTGAGTTTGCAGCGCCTGAACGCCTGGAGCATCCCCTGCTTTCGCAGCTGGCTCCTGCATAAGCACTAGCTTCCACGAGTGCTGCACCTGCGACTTTCATGCTACTGGCCTTTGGCTTCGGCAAAGGTGGACTAGCCTGCGAACCACGGTCGTAGTGATCCACAAGTATAACAGCGCCACTCGTGCCTTCATGTCAGCGAGAGCCGATTGTGCATCGCCCGCCACCTATCAAACGATGCCGGCGCATTGCTTCATCTAATGGGCTCGCATCCTGTACCCGTGACTTGTGCATGTGGCACCCTAGACATCCCGACCTGAAGTATTCCTACCTCAGGCTTTGAGCAATCTCCCATCGACATCTTGTGCCTGCGGCTTCAGGGGCGGTGGCGGCACCTGCATCACCATGACTGCACGAAGCCATGCAGCACATGAACAAGGCGATGTCGCTCACATGGCACCTTCCCAGCAGGAGCAGCAGCAGCTGGGACCGCAGATGGTTCCTCATCTTTGCTGGCTTGCGGCTTCGAGAGGGGATGGCCGGCCTGCCATGTGGCGGCACGACATCCCACAAGGCCGCGCTGAGTATGCAGAGGCCTTCGGGTCGGGAAGATGCTCCAAGCCCGCGTCCTGCGCGTGACGGGAACCCCACATGGGCATTTGCAAGGCACCTCAGATCCACAAAGCTGTGCTGCTGTGCTGCCTTCACCTTCGGGGCCACAGCGGCAGGCTGGGTGACGCCCAGCTCCTTGCGAGCTGTCGGGAAAGCAACCACAACTCCATGCACGAAAGCACTATGCATCGGAGCCTTGACTGTCTCGTCTGGGGCAGCCTGCGACAGCATCACAAGAGGCTCCACGACTACATGCCAGACATCACTGCGCCTCAGGCTCCGGTGCCTGCAGGTGCGAAAGGCATCGATATTCGGACCACTGATGCAACCTGGCGCGGATCCGCTCCTCCTTCGATGCAGAGCTGGCGGCGGTTGCCGACATGCTGGCCGCCAAATCCTCCATGACAGCTGGCTGCAACTCGAACCACTAGAATCGCTAGAAGGCGGTACATTGCCCGCGCAGTGCAGGGTGACTTGCCTTGATCGTCTCATCCGGTGCCGCCTGTCCACAGTGAGAGACAACGACCCCCAGTAACCCCGGAACGCACACCAAGCACCTGCCTGTGGTTCAGGTGTCGATGCCTGCGCAGCATCGTCGGTTTTGGCACCCGGTTCCTGCGGCCGTCCAGCTGCTGGCATGCACTGCATTGCACTAGCTTCGACCAGCCTTCGGCTTCGGCACAGCTGGGCCCTGTCTATGAGCCGCTGACCCACATGCTCAACCATCTCACATCATCTCATGCCCGGTGCCTTCGCAGGTGGCGGCGGCGGCGCCTGCCGAATGTTTATGCCGTGCACGGCTCTCGGACCACTTTGCACTTTGCGTTGCTCATGCGCTTGGCAGTGCCTGAACGCCAGGAGCAGCGCCCGCCTTTGCGCCTGGCTCCTGCACAAGGCTGACTTCCACCTCACCCGCATGGTCATCCAACTCCCGGTGCCTTCGCAGGCGGCGGTGGCACCTGTCAGATGTCCGTATACTGTGCACAACTAGGCTATCAGCGCACTTTGCGTGGCAGTTCTCCAACAAGGGCTCGTGAGTTTGCAGCGCCTGAACGCCTGGAGCATCCCCTGCTTTCGCAGCTGGCTCCTGCATAAGCACTAGCTTCCACGAGTGCTGCACCTGCGACTTTCATGCTACTGGCCTTTGGCTTCGGCAAAGGTGGACTAGCCTGCGAACCACGGTCGTAGTGATCCACAAGTATAACAGCGGCACTCGTGCCTTCATGTCAGCGAGAGCCGATTGTGCATCGCCCGCCACCTATCAAACGATGCCGGCGCATTGCTTCATCTAATGGGCTCGCATCCTGTACCCGTGACTTGTGCATGCGGCACCCTAGACATCCCGACCTGAAGTATTCCTACCTCAGGCTTTGAGCAATCTTCCCATCGACATCTTGTGCCTGCGGCTTCAGGGGCGGTGGCGGCACCTGCATCACCATGACTGCACGAAGCCATGCAGCACATGAACAAGGCGATGTCGCTCACATGGCACCTTCCCAGCAGGAGCAGCAGCAGCTGGGACCGCAGATGGTTCCTCATCTTTGCTGGCTTGCGGCTTCGAGAGGGGATGGCCGGCCTGCCATGTGGCGGCACGACATCCCACAAGGCCGCGCTGAGTATGCAGAGGCCTTCGGGTCGGGAAGATGCTCCAAGCCCGCGTCCTGCGCGTGACGGGAACCCCACATGGGCATTTGCAAGGCACCTCAGATCCACAAAGCTGTGCTGCTGTGCTGCCTTCACCTTCGGGGCCACAGCGGCAGGCTGGGTGACGCCCAGCTCCTTGCGAGCTGTCGGGAAAGCAACCACAACTCCATGCACGAAAGCACTATGCATCGGAGCCTTGACTGTCTCGTCTGGGGCAGCCTGCGACAGCATCACAAGAGGCTCCACGACTACATGCCAGACATCACTGCGCCTCAGGCTCCGGTGCCTGCAGGTGCGAAAGGCATCGATATTCGGACCACTGATGCAACCTGGCGCGGATCCGCTCCTCCTTCGATGCAGAGCTGGCGGCGGTTGCCGACATGCTCGCCGCCAAATCCTCCAGGACAGCTCCAGCTGTGCAATTCAACATGCAGTTGACAGACGCCCGAGTCCTGGCGGACGCGGACTTCGCCTCCAGCCTTCTCCAGTGCTGCTCCGAGCACTGCCTTCAGGGTCTCCACCGGGGGCCCCTTCAGCTTCTCCGCACCGGAAGTTTCGGAATCGTCCTGATCACCATCTGAGATTATCTGGAATGTGCTTGGCAAACCGATTCTGCCGTGCTTAAGAGAAGGGAGAAGCACCCGGCGCGAAACCGCAGAAATGATGCTTGAACTACACAACTTCCCAAGGCACCCAAGCAAGAGCACCACCACGCCTCTTGGAGCAAGGGCCTGGTTGTGGAAGCTTGGTGAGCAGCCGCCTGGTCCTCTGCGATATGATGCGTCTACTCAGTTGGCAACAGCATACAAAGACAGGCAAGTCTTTTCTACACTCTCGCTCTTATATTGCCCGTCGAGCAGTCACACTGCATCAAGATGCTTTGAGTGAAAGTCCAGGTGCTCTTCCATCACAGAGGTTACAAAGAAGTGGCTATGGTCGAAGCCAGCCCGTACTCGCAGCTCCACAGGCACACCCCGCATGGAACATGTGTTGACAAACTCGAGCGGCCTGTACACTTCGCCGTGTGACTGCAGAGTCTCCGATCCCACATCAAGGAGGATTGGGGGCAACTGCGAAGCATTCTTTGTGCTGCAGTCCTCGATCAGGCACGTGGGATCGTACTTTCTCCAGGCCTCCTCGGAGCCAAGATAGGCCGACAGTGCAGCGCGCACGTCGGGCACGGACTTTTCGGAGAGTTCCGGGATGGCCGTCGGATGGGCAATGGGTGTCAGTACTGAAACAGAACGGAAGCTTTTCGGTCGCCGGATGGCCGTTGCCAAAGCACCCAAACCTCCCATCGCGTGTCCCATCAATGAGACCTCTTCGGGCCCACAGGTCGGAAAGTTCTTGTGCACCAGGTCTAGCAACTCCTCTAGATAGTCCTGCATTCTGTAGTGCTCTGCCCACGGCTTCTCAGTTGCGTTGACATAGAAACTGGCTCCTATGCCAACGTCAACTCGCGGCTCATCTGGTACACCTTCACCCCGGGGCGAGGTGTCGGCTGCCAGAAAAATCAGGCCACAGGCCGCACTGTGTTCCAGGGCAGTCGACTCTTTAACCACCTCCATATGAGAGCGACCCATGTCCGACAGATACATCACAACCGGGAACTCTTCACAGTCATCTGGATATGGCAACACCATCTGCATACGCGGAGCATCAGGGATGTACACGCTGAACGACGATCGCAGACCGCCCAGGGCTTGGGACCTGTAGCTGCAATGAAAGAGCGTGCCCTCGAAGCAGCGCCATCGCTCTTGCACCTGCAATGACTGCGCCGTCCGTGCCTTCTTTCCGGCAGATCGCGAGATGGCGCTGTGGCGATGTCCAAAGCGACGGGCAGAGCTCGCCAGTGCGGCGAGAGGAGGGGCCCATGGACAAAGTGACAGCCTCGAAGCTCCAGCCGAGGACTGGCACTTAACGCCGCATGCCTGCAGCGGCGTCTGCACCTGTAGCCGGGCTATGCCCAATCGAGCAAGCATGACTCATGACAATCAAACTGTCGGTCCACTCGCATGGCTTGAACCATTGATTATGTGGGAGATCACATGCTTCCTCCGAACCTGACTTCGCCCTGCTTTGTACTCGTCTCGGCACTTCAAGGCAGCCCCAGTCCTGGCTGATTCCCTTCAAGCTTGCACCTCCTCCAGCCTGGCTGAAAGCCAGGGTGAGCTCCTTCGAGCCAGTCGCCGACTTCGAAGCATCATCTTTGTCTCCCACCTCCGACAACTAGAGGTGGAAAGTACAGCTGCTTGCATGACGGGAGCCTCATCAGCCGATGGGGCGGCATTACCTTCAAAGCTCAGGCTCTTGATCGGAAACTGCTTCACTGCAACATCCCGTCGCCTGCTGCAAGTGTCGCCTCCGGCTTGGACCTTGCACACGTTTGTGGATGGAGCTTGCACATGCGAATGGCTCAAGAGGGGAAACTGGTGCCAGGCAGTGGAGAAGATTTCGGGTTTGGGAACCTTGGAGCTCAGCTTTCCTCTGCAAGCAGTCGCATGAGATTTCTGTACTTCAAGCCGCGGGCAAGAGCTGGCCGACGAGAGGATAGCTGGAGAAAACCTTTTGCCAGTTCTTGTCCTCGAAACGCGCGCGGCTTCTCGTCGAATTCAGACATTCGCAGATGCGGAGAGGCCTGGCTTTCCATCTTCCTTACCTGTTCTGCTAGGCGGGCCTCCAGCATTGGGACCTCAGTGCAGTGCATCGAATTACTCCAGCCCCTTTCATCGTCCCCTCGACCCTTGGGGAAGGGCTTCTGAAGCCTTCTTCTCGGCAGCCTGCACTTTGGCAGTGAGATAAGCCACCTGCAGGGAACAGAGGTGCGGAGGAGCAATCGGGGACTGCATCTTCCTGAGACCTGGCCGGCCCGGTCGCCTCTTGCTCGGCAGTTCGGGCTCGCTGCTCCATGACGCCCAGGTTCGCGGCGGTGCGCGCAGCCTCTTCCAAAGCGTCGTCTGAAAACTCGATTCGTCGGCAAACCTCTGACGGCCTCATCGATCGCTTCTTGGAAAGCATCTCGGTGCTGCTGCGCAGCTTGCAACCTTCGGCTGCACATGTTGCGTCAGCGGCAACTGGGAAACAAGCTTTCATGGTTCACGGCCATGCGGCGAATGTGCTGACCAACGTCGCCACGTGCTTATGCGGCTGTGTTTCTGGTGCAAAAGCTGGGGGAAGCCACGTTGAATCCGCGAATTGCACACCAAAACCGCAAGAGTTCCACAACATTGTTGGGTACTGCACCGGGCCGTTAGCATTAGTCCAATTGAGGTTTTAGGCCTACTTCTATCTGTCCTGATTCACATTCCAGGGGCCGGGCTCTCCCTGAAGCAAACTTTGTGCCATACGCGAGGCCTCAGCAAGATTGAACTTGCACTAAAGGTACACAGCCGACGCAACCTGTGGGGCCCCTGCTTGCAACTCGCCTGCCAATTTCTCCGCCTTTGCCTTCCATGCGAGAGCTTGCTCTCCTGCCTTTGACAGCTCCTGCCCGCGCATTGGCGTCACTCGCACGCGTCTGCCAACTCTTTGGCTCGGAAACTCACAACACCACCCAACCTGAAGCTGCAGGACCTGCTCCTGCACGCAGAAAAGAATGTCAGCTGCGGGGGTGCTCCTGGTCGTCCTTTGCTACCCCCCACCTGCAGCTGCTTCTTCGACGTCTCCGCACCGAGCTGCTTGGCAGCAGCCTGCAGCTGGCACTGGCAATCAGCATGCGGCACGCCCGGCACGCCAGGGTTGGGGAGGGGGTTCTGTTTAAACGCACCGATGTTTAAACACTTTATGTTTAAACCCAGAGGACCCTCTGACGAGTCACGTTTAAACCGTTTAAACATGTTTAAACCAATTAAACTAAACATGAAGCGAAATGTTTAAACATACGTGTTTCAACGCATTCCTCTGACCAGCCATGTTCAAACAGGCTTAAACGAGGTTGAACCAAACACGAGGCTGAATGTTTACACCTTCGGGGCTAGGGCGAAGTTAGGTGCAGGCCTACCGTGGAAGTAGGCTTTGAGCCTTTGTAGCCCCTGTGAGCCCGAAGCCGTCGACGACTGGACTCCTAGCCTTGGCCTTGAAACTGAAGGCCTAAACCAAGCCCACCCGCTAACACCCTTTGGCCCTTTGGGACACTCAGGGAACTGTTTAAACACGGGTTTAAACAGATTCGGAATGTGCGACACTCTGGGAACTGTTTAAACATGTGTTTAAACATGCGTTTAAGCAGATTCGGCATGTGCGACACTCCGGGAACTGTTTAAACACGTGTTTCAACATGAGTTTCAACAGATTCGGCATGTGCGACACTCCGGGAACTGCTTAAACACATGTTTAAACATGCATTTAAACAGATTCGGCATGTGCGACACTCCGAGAACTGTTTAAACACGTGTTTAAACATGCGTTTAAACAGATTCGGAATGTGCGACACTCCGGAAACTGTTTAAACACGTGATTAAACATGCGTTTAAACAGATTCGGCATGTGCGACACTCCGGGAACTGTTTAAACACGTGTTTAAGCATGGGTTTAAACAGATTCGGCATGTGCGAACCTCCGAGAACTGTTTAAACACGTGTTTAAACACGGGTTTAAACAGATTCGGCATGTGCGACACTCCGGGAATTGTTTAAACACGTGTTTAAACATAGGTTTAAACAGATTCGGCATGTGCGAACCTCCGGGAACTGTTTAAACACGTGTTTAAACATGCGTTTAACCAGATTCGGCATGTGCGACACTCAGGGAACTGTTTAAGCACGTCGTGTTTAAACATGGGTTTAAACAGATTCGGCATGTGCGACACTCAGGAAACTGTTTAAACACGTGTTTAAACATGGGTTTAAACACATTCGGGATATGCGTCATGCTATATATGCTTTTAAACGCCGCGTTGGGACGTGTGACACTCCGCGAGTTAGCACAAGTGTGTTTAAACATGTTTAAACGCCGTCCTGCATATGTTTAGACCATGGTTTAAACATCTCAATGCGACGACAATGTTTAAACAAATAAACAAACATCGACCCACCGGCTAAACATGTTTAAACGCGTTTAGGTTTAAACCGTTTAAACCTAAACGTGTTTAGTGCGACCCTGCACGCGTAAGCTAACGCTGCCACCAACCGAAAAGCAAAACACAAAGAACGGGACCCTTGTGTTGTCGGGTTTAGCCTTGGCATCTACTGGGCAGGGATCTTGGATATCTTCAGAGCAAGTGACTGGGCAGCAGCTCGGCAAGTTGGCCGACTTCGTTGTATCACCTTTTTACCACCACTCAAACAAAACGGAAGTCCCTTCGGCGAGACCGCTTCCTGCCTGGCAAAAACAGACAGGGCAGCATGCTTGCAGCAAGGACAGGCGGGGATGGTGCCAAGTGCGGTGCCACTTTCGCCCTCTGCCCCATGCAACGCAGCACGACATTCTCATGAGGCGAACAGAATACCTCGTCGCCTACCTTTCTGGGACAATTGGAGATATCGGACTCACTCCCATCGCAGAGCAGCTGCAGCTGGGGAAGACTGCTTCCGCACAAATCCCTGCTCCCTTTGCAAGGAGGAAGAGGGTTGACATCCACAGCTGCAAATCCCAAGGACTTACATGCCACAGATGCGCTCCCGATGCCGAAACCAGCTTGACACACTGGGCTCCACCCGTCTGGAAGAAGCACTTCAAGCCGACCAAATCCGTCTTGGCTGGGGTGGCCCGCCACATCCACGAGGCGCACAGCGTCGCGAGCTGGCGAAGTTGCGGAGCTCGTATGGCAATGGATCACAGAATCTCGGGTGTGCTCCAAACAATCACCCTCCGGAATCATCCAACTACATTCAGCCAGATCCTGCTCATTGCCCTTACAGCTCAAACGCTGCATAGCTACGGGCATACCTCGACTGCCACATATGTTATGGCCATGAAAATCTGAACAAGTGTCGCCAGCGACAGATCCTCCTTCAAATCCCATGCGTCTACAGATTGCATTTGCCGCCCCATCGTCGAGTCCACAGACAGAGCCGTAACCGCTGGCAGTTTGTACCTCTACCAGGCCGGAGTTTGAAAGGCTTCCTGTCTCATCAAGAAGCCTCACTGCAAGCCCCCGGGGCATCGCAGACTGCGGAACACGGGCCGTGCGTTGCAGGAGCGCTGTGCATGCAGGTCGGGTGTGATGGATGCGGGGCTACTGGTAGCTTTCTGCAGCTTTCAAAGCTTTGAAAGCTCATGGGGTGTTCGACCAGACATGGGCCTGTCGCGTTCCAATGCGTTCCACTTGTGTACGTAGCAGCTCTTTTCAAGCCGAAAGATAGCCAGATAGACAGACCTAACAAACTTTGCATTGTACCTCCTCTAGCCACAGCAGCAGGAGAATGCTTCCAACAGGCCTCCTTGACCTGTGCCTCCAGCTTCTGCTGCAGAATCTCCGACCTTGGCTTCCGGTTGCTCTCGTGCCGCAAAGAGGAACGGCACAACAGCCAGGACCAGACTTTTTCTGCTCCTGCTCAAAGCACTCCTTGCTCCAGGGACTCTGCTCGAGTTCTCGGACATGTGATCCACCACAAATGCTTGAAATGGTGCGAAAAGGCACTTTCCCGGGGCCTGCCAAGACTTCTGCTCGCCTCGCACTGCATACTCTGCCTGCGACAGAGCTCACGAGAGACTAGGGCCCTGGGGCCACTAGGAATGCAAACGTCGACCCAACGGCCACCAACAAAGCTGTTGATCCCGCGCGCTGGCTGGCTTGATAAATCTGCACATGTTCTCGTACTGGTTCCACAGCCACTAATTTATGAATGGCCTGTGCTTGCCGGGCACCCCTCATCACTAGCGACTTAAGACGATGTCATAAGCATCAACAGTTACCCCGTACTTGACCTCTGCTTGTCTTAGTTCTGGTGGACCCACCCTACGCAACAGCCTCGAGCTGCCGTCGAAGCGCGCAAAGCTCTGCCACTAGCTTGGAATTGCTATCCGTCCTGATGCACGGCACGAAGCGAAGACAGCGAAGACAGCACAAGACTCAGCTCAAAAGAGAGGCCAGGCTTCCCACTCTTCCTTTAAACGATTCGTCAGAACAGAGATTTGACCCTCCATGCCACGAGCCTGCAAGCTTGACAGGCTGTTCGGGCAGGCAAGTTCCAAAGAGTCAAGATTCGTCCGTCACATCTCCAGAACATACTAGCACAGAGTGCAACAATTGAGCATGTCGGACTGTGCTCTGTGGCTCCGCATGATGCGAAGCACGACTGAAATGTGCGCTGAACAAACACGCAGATGTTTCCGCATGTGTGTTGGGACGGAGAGAGGGAGAGGCAGAGGGAGAGGGAAACGGGAGACGATGCTGCCCACGCTCTGCGTAAGTTCAATCAGCATGGCCCATGGCACCAGCCGCCAGCCTTCGCATTGCTGTCATCAAGCTCTGCGGCCTGCTCTGTGATCTGGGCCTCTGGCAATCTTGTGAGCATGAGGCTGGCAAGATGAACCACCACACGTGCAATCTGAAACCGCCGCGTCGAAAGACCCTGCCAACGCGCTTCTGGGGCTTTGACATTGGCTTTCGCGAGCCGAGCTCGCAGCAGCTTCGCCTGCCACAGCTCGGCCGCTGCTGGGCCCTTGACCCCGACCCGTGCGGCCTCGTCGGGGTCCAGGCACCGCGCCAGCTCGACCTGGAAGCGCTCGAGCCTGCGCTTCTGCTCCTGGCTAAACACACGGGACGCTCCGGGCGCGGCGGCGCGGCGGCACGGCACAGGCGGTGGACTCGGACTTTTCCGTGCCTCCAGCTGCTCATCCTTCAGGTCCAGCTGCTGTCTCTGTTCACGTATCGCCCTCAAGAGCTCTTCCTCGGTAGCGAATCAGGTCCCAGCAACACAAACACACACTGATGTAAACTTGAGGCTTGGGCGCGGCGTGCATGCGTAATTCCTTCATCCTGCAGATACACTCCCCGCCCCGCTGGACACACGGATGGCCACCCATGAAAAGGCCTCCGGCCCCAGCAGGTACGGATCTTCCGCACCTCCAAACTCGCTCTCTTGGAAGATACGAGTAGAATGCGCTTGAAAACGCAAGCCATTTGGAGCTTGGGATCTGCAGGGCATGCGGAGGCTTACAGAGGCTTTCACCACGCGTAAGGCAGCTGCCGTGAAGCAACAGCTCCGAGAGTCCAAGGGCGCATCTTCGTCTTCTAACGCACGACTGGGCTCCACCATTCTTAACGTCAAGCTCTACGATCTCTAGTCTAGCTGCTAGCAGGTCTGCTAGCTAGAGTCGTCATGCAACATTGCAGGTAATGGCTATACGACACCCGCGACTTGAGTGCGTTCTTCCATGTTTGGATGCACGACCTCAGACACTCCGATTGCAAAACTCAAGTGTTTTTTTGTTGAACCAGGATTTGTCCAGTTTTCCCAAAGAATAACTCAGCGAACCTAGCTAGAATACTGACCCTGGTACTGCTGGGTTTGTTCAAGCACGCGCTATTTCACAATTCAGAAAGCATGACATCTGTAGTAATGTATCGCCTGGGACCATTGTCTTGAGCTGTCAGCCCGGAAAGCTTCCAGCAGGACTGATGCCCCAGCAACTGTCAGTGGTGTCTGCAACGTACCACGAGTAACAGAGCTCGCCTGCCCATGCTTGCTTGGGTTCTTGACCATCTCCGTAGTACGACATGATGGCACCTGCGCACATCTCAAACGGAGCCGAGTGGTGCAATAGATTTGCCACCTGCCTTCATCCCCCTGCACGCTGGGGAACGTCTTTGGAGGGTGCAACCTGAAAGCCAGTTATTGCATGCGACATTGGAGAAAGTCGCTCAAGCAACGGCTGGTTCAAGCGAAACTCCTCAGAGGCCCGAAATGGAGTTTGCACCCGTGGACCCGTGGCCTAAACCTGAAAACTGCTTGAGTAGGAGGGAGGGAGGGAGGGAGGGGGCGAGAGAGAGAGAGAGAGAGAGAGAGAGAGAGAGAGAGAGAGAGAGCGAGAGCGAGAGCGAGAGCGAGAGCGAGAGCGAGAGCGAGCGCGAGCGAGAGCGAGAGCGAGAGCGAGAGCGAGAGCGAGAGCGAGAGAGAGAGCGAGAGAGAGAGAGCGAGAGAGAGAGAGAGAGAGACAGAGAGAGAGAGAGCGAGAGAGATAGAGAGTCGTTGCGAGCTCTTGTGCAGGTCTCGCCGCGGCCCTCACATGACAAACCCGCCTGCAGGTCTTCATGCACACAACGTCGGAACTGAAATCAAAGACGGAACTGGGGTGATCTTTCGCGAGAGCTTTCCAACTCCCCGAGGTTCGGCACAGTGGCAGGGCAGCTGAGTTCGATGCAAGTTGAAAATTCGAAGACAAACGTCAGGACCGGGGACGTATTTCAAGGCTTGGCCTGACCCAGGCACGCGAAGCGGACGCTCTGCAAGTGTCCGAACTCAAAAGGCCTAGAAGTTGTTGGTGAGTGGTTACCTCAGTGAGCTAATCACACCCTGCCAAAAATGCACGCATAACACGTCTCCGAGGCCAGGTCATCCCTCATCCACGATCCGTTGAACATATGGGGCTTGGTCACATGCCTGGCTTACCAGAGTCCATGCGAATCACAGGCGGCATTTTCAAAAACAGGCCGGCAACGGCATCATCTGGTCCAAGCCTCCCTGCTGCACCCTCTGCATCAGCTGTATCTGAGTGCCCGCTGCACTGCGAGGAACGCTCATTTTTGAAGCAAGCAGCGAGGCACCACGTTGGCTCAGTAAGACTGGCACGAATCGGGCCTGCAGCTGCTGAAAATGAATCCCGAGCCTCAGCCGTCTGCAGATTGGACTAACCGACTAACTAACATCGACTAACCGAGGATGCTAACAGGCACTATCACATGCTACCACTGGGTCACACTGCTTTTTGTGAGCGCTCGGCTTCACCAAGTGCTCTAAGCGCTGTGCCTGTGGCTTCGCACAGCATCGACAGGTTGTTCCGAAACCCCTACACCAGGGCTTTCGGCCGGGACAGGGACTAAGTTTTAAGACCTGAATCTGATCCTGCAAATCGATTCCTCAAGCCCTTAGCTGTAGCTTCGTTAGCGCGTAAAACTGCGTCAAGCACCTTCGCAGATCTGTGACGGCTCAGAGTGAGACATCTCATGTCACCAGCCGTCGTCACAGGAAAGCTGTTGCTGCACAGAAGTGCTGCGTGCGCCGCGTGCACAACTGACAGCGCAGAAGTGAAATCAAAAACACCCTCTGCTTTCTGATCAGGCGGATGCTCTGCAGCAACCTGTAGCACTATAACATCCATTTTTTCGAGAACATCTACGGCATAAACACATATATCTACGGCACATTCGCCCGATGCTTGAAAATGGTGAAACTCTGCACGGCCGGCCTGCAGCGCGAACAGTCCGTGAAGAGCTGCGACACATAAAACTACCAGGCATTGTCGAGCCGGGACGACATGAGCAGGTCTCCCTCAATCGTCGACGTACGACCTGAGACGGCACGAAAGAAGATTCCCGAAGTTCTGATGCCTTCAGACCAAGGTTGAGTGAGACATTCAGCAGCCCACGCACCGGCACCGCCGGCACTGCTTCCGAACGCCGAGCTGCCTCCGGCTCCTGCACGGAGTGGGGCCCGAAATCGAGGAGACCCATTCCGGATCTCTGTTTGGAAATCCAAGCTCGATTAGTCCCCGCCTACCGCAGATCCTTCACCTCGGCTCGATGAGCCTTTCTTGCCCTTGCTGTCCTGCGCCGGCAAAGCGGCCAGGGCTAGTCGAACAAGCTGACAGGTCTGTCTTCAGTCTCCTGGACGACTTTGCGAAGCACCTTCGGGCAGGCAATGCATCGGGCAACACAGACTCGTACACTGTACACGCAGACAGACAGACAGACAGACAGAACTCGTGACGTATCACAGCGGCCCGCTCCAGCATGAAATAAACTGGCATGGAAATGCAAATTTCCAATGCATGGGGATGCTTCTAATAAACATGGGTTGGTGCGCGAGCAGCTGGGCAATATTTCTTTGGGGCACGACTTCGCAGGAGCAGCAGCGAGCTCGGCCATGCTTGAGAATTACGAAAAGCAAAGACGTGCAAAGTTGCAGACCGCACTGAGAAAAAGCAATGGAGGTGCCTTCCTCGCCATGGACTCAATCTTGGACAGCTTCTCCCGATCTCCGCCTCGGGAGCGATCCTACTAATAAGCAGATCGCGGGATGTCACACGGACAGCGAAGAGGCCGCGACGGTGCTTGGTCTCTTCTGGCCACTGCAGCTCGGCAGAGCACGATCCACCGAATCGCAGGATGGCGTCCTGCGACTGAGTTGCGGGCACGGATCCAAGGAGACATGACTGAAGATGCAACACGCTGGTTGTGCCTTCAGGACCACATGCTCACTGGCAGGTTCCGTGATCTGCATGCCACCCGCCACTCCCACGTCGCCCTGCGGAAGAGGTCCCAGTACCGTGCGTGACGTTGTAAAACTATCCGACCGGACATTTAGCAATTTTCGTGTGTTGCCAAGCTCCTGGTTGAACTCCAGTGGCTGATCAAGCCCGAGGCTCTCAATAAAGGTCCTCATGATGCGATGAGCTCAAACCGATGATAACTGAACAAACCCCTCTACCCGCATGCCAATATCTTTCAGCGAGGAGTCGTCCACTGGTTCCTGTTGAAATTGGCCAGTGCCTGAGACGGGGAGCCGAACGAGTCATGTTCCAGATCCTAAACTCCCCAGACTCTAGACGCGACTTCAACTCCAAAGCACAGGCCTTGCAGAAAGCACTGCTGCGCCGCTACGCTGATTCCACAAGCACATAAACAAACAGGTACGAGTACCAACATCTTGGTCCAGTCCAGAAGTGCAATGTTTGTCCCCCCACTCGGCCTCCACGATCTTTTGTGCACGGTTCAGGCGGGCGAAGCCAACCATGTCCTCAGCCACGAAGTGTTCAGTTCATGGTTGCACGGATCCTCGCATGGAAATGTGTCATGCTGCCACCTGCACCGGTCCCACCTGGTAGATGTAAACATAGGAGCTGTTCAGCTGGGCAATGAGCAAATTCATCAGCAGGATTGACGATGCCAAGACCTTGGCTTTGGGGCGCGCGCCGGCGGCTAGTGCCAACACCACTGAAGCTTGGGGTTCTTGCGTGAACTTGTCCACTGCATGACTCGTCTGGACAATGGGCCATGGAAGCAGCAACCACTCTGGTATATCTGCACACCCAGCGAAAGTACTGCAGCCTGGCTGCGAACAGCAGCACCGCTGTAAGTAAGGCCGGCTCGTCCTCCATGAGAGTGCCTCAGCGGAAGGAGGACATGCCGGTTTTTGTCAGAGCATCGCTGTCCTGCCCTTCCTCGTGCCATTGCCACCCACCCTGACGGTTCTCTTCGCAGGCGGGCGAGGCCATGGCAACTTCGACCAAGCTGCGATAATCGTCTTCGTACAGAAGCACGGTGATGGAGAACAGGCACAGGACAGTGTTCCTTGTTGCAAATCTTCGTGGAAATCTCTGACGGCCAACGCTTGTAATGTGCCTTTGTTTTGTTTCAGCGTGCTGCCACGATGCGGGATGTCTCGCATCTCCTGGGGTCCAAAAGCATCGTTTCAGCTGGACATGCTGGACATGAGTCCGGCGGTCATGACTCGAGTCAAGCCTAAGGCTCGAAGTACGAATGGTCGAGGACACTGATGGCACTTCCAAACGTTAAGAGCAGGAAGATCAAGGCAACGAGGAATCGGCCGATCTCGCTCAAGACCTTTCGGGGCTTTGTACTTCGTGACAGATGCGCAAACATCTGCTCAGAATGAGTCTGCAACTTCTTTTGAAGCTGTGCCTGGGCACACACGAGGACGAAGGCTGACAATCCCGTCGAGAAGACCGCCAAGTCCACCATGAGGAACCAGTGTATGGCCATGGCTATCATGCCGAGGGCAGAGTACGTAAATCGCACGCCCTCGTAGGTGTATTGCACGTCCTGGAGGGGCGGACAACCCTGAGAACTAGATGTGGTTCGCTGGGCGAAGTGTCCCTCCCCTACCTCGATGGCATCGCAATTGGCTGTCGGCCAGTCTTGGGGGCTAGAGACCAGGCAGTGATACATCGGCTCATAAGCGCACATCAGCAGAAGCAGAAGCGCCAAAACCTGAATGGACAAGCTTCTGTCTGATGCACAGACAAAGCTGTGGAGATGAAAACATATCTTGGCAGTGCTCAATGCTCTCTCGCTTGACCTGCCGCCTGGATGGATCTGGGCCGATTGCTTGCAGAGGTGCACGTACACCAATCCTAAATCAAACCTCTCGAGTTGGTTTTGCCGGCCCTGCAAATGACCTTCGCCAAACGGCATTTGAGGGCAGCATCACTTGTCATGTCTTGCGAAGGTGGGCATTGCGGAGTGGTTCAGGCAAGTGTTTTGGTTACCGGGTCTGGTGCAAAGAGGAATCGTCCGAAAAAGCCTTGCTGTGGTATAGGTTCGGAGCCGTTTTTGTCTTTACACCATGTTGGAGGGCATATCAATATCAAGGCAGATAGTCTTTGAGAGGTGACTCTGCTGCTGCCCGTGGTTCCCCACCTTCACCTGCTTTGAATCCAAAGCGGAATAATTTGCACAACAAATACTGCAGGCAGAAAAGTTGTCAGACATTTGTTACTGGCAGAGGGGCAGAGGGGCAGAGGGGTTCTGATGAAGTACCAACCTACAAGCGACGCCCCTTAGGGCGTGTGCCCACATTTTCGAATGGATCACCGCCACCCTAAACAGACTACACACAAGAAATGCACACAACATGCCCACATTTGGAAACCCGTGTCCCTACAGGCACGTGGAATAAAAACCCCGCCCGAGAGCAGACAGCCCCGGCACAGGATGCGGCCAAGTTGACAAGCAACATGACAGTCCCTGCTGCAGGCACAACTTTGCAGCTGCGACACCAAGTTGCCCATCGCCATTGCGTTGTGCAAATACTTTGGAATGCGGAGGCATTTCACGCGGGCCCACTTGCCACGGCGACAGTCTTTGACGCACTTCGAGATGCATCCTGCAGCAAGCAACGCAATATCCCGGAGAGAAGCAGACTCCTGCCGGCAACAACAGCCCGGCATGTTCACTGCCGCCGAAGTTCTGATCAGCAGTCTGGTCATGGTCACCATGTACATGAAGGTTCGCCCGAAGAAAATCACAACTCGCACTTCCCAAATCGACTCAAGCTCGGTGGTCTTGGGCAAGATTGCCACGCTCAGCATAAAGATCAGTAAACTGGCCAGAAACCACAGGCGAGAGCGAAGGAAGGAATTCCGTACGATGCCTCCCCACCTCAGAGATGCCAGAGCTGCATCCACCCGCACACGGGCTCAACCGTCTTAAGTCTTGCCTGAATGCATGCGAGTCGCAGAGTGTCAGACACCATCACCACCGCCGGATGCACCATGATCTTCGGGTCTTTCGTGGTGCAAATCTCTCTGAGGAACTCTGCCGGCTCACCCTCCTGCGATCGCATGCTGCATCACTAATCTAGGATCTAGAAGGAGTACCTCAGCCTCTGAGTTGCGGGACGCGCGTCCTGATTCACCAGCAGATGCTTCACCTGCACACAGGCAAACTCGGCTCGCACGGCCCTTCGGCCCTGGCCCTGGGCCAAAAACGGATGCAGGCAGGGGACGTAGAAGTTCACGCGGCGAAGCCCGGCGTCCGTTCGAGCAGAACGCCAGATCAAGCCATCGAGGAGCGTTGGAATGAGGGTTGGCGCCTCAGAGAACTTGTCATAGCTTTAGGCCCACTGGCGCATCGGCTCCCTGCCTCT